AATAATAAATAAAGGTTCAAGCCCGGGGCGCGGCTGTGGGAACAGCTCATTGTTTTTGAACGAGCTCATTGTGGATGCTCACTCGGTCGCGGTTTCCGAACGGTGTGCGAAATAAACACGAATTGAATCGATTCAAAATCGATTAGTGCATATGGCGTATATTGTTCTGTTTTTTTTTTAAAATGCTTTCGTAAATTTTCGCGCGATTGCGTTCACGATGAAATGCTCTGATTCATAAAAAAAACGACTGTTGGAATAATATCTGTTTTGAAATAAACATCGCACAATACAAGCAATGCTTTTACTGTGGAAAATATGTCCTGATAATTTCTTCGGTTTTCGCGAGTCGTAAACATAATTAAAACTACTTAAAAAGTACGGTTTACGTTTCATTTCAGTGGAATTTCGACGAATAACTCTGTCGTCCGTGACCACAGTATGCAGTGGTAAAAATGTACTTCAAAAACTACCAAACTACTAGCAAACCGACACATATACATACACATACCAATAAAAACGTGTTAAAAACAGAACAAAATACTACTTTTGTTAAAGGAGCTGCTTATTTACTTCAGACCTTATCAGCTGAACAAAGGTAAAGCAAAACGCATCACTGTCCTTTACCTTGGATAATTCAAAAATCCATCCCATTCATTTAAACAAGAACAGTTACTTAACTCTTCAGTTAATTATCGTTAGATCGGCGATCGTCGAGAGCATTTAACAAGTTGCGGTACTTCGTTTTAACATCTCTAAACATGCACGTGCCCTCAACAATGACGCTGACACTATGAGACGCACTCGACGCGCGATTAACGACTGATTAATACAATACTAGTGAAACGATGATGTCACAGATCTGCATTTGGGTTGCCCCAAGAGATTTTTTTTCTTTTGTCGAAGTCGTCGTGGCCTAAGGGATAAAACGTCCGGTGCATACGTGTTGAGCGATGCACCGGTGTTCGAATCCCAGGCGGGTACCAATTTTTCTAATAAAGTACGTACTCAACAAATGTTCACGATTGACTTCCACGGTGAAGGAATAACATCGTGTAATAAAAATGAAACTATCTCGGCCAAGGACGCCTAGACAATATACGCCTAAGCTTAAGCCAATTGGTATCGTTACCACTTTAACCTATTACTTCATATATCTTAAGTCTCTGATTTTATATGATTATTAACCATGGTCAATTTCAGCTTAATATTAATTCTTATTAAATTGCGGCGAAGGCCCCTTTGGCGAGCCTCGGCGGAGGCTTGGAGTGGACGTTTCTAAGCTGATGATGAATGATGACAATTTTATTTAAATATTTTATATTGGCCGTCCTGAATACGCACTGCGGTGTTGAGAGGCAGAGATAGCGCGGGTCACGTAGCGCCCCTCCCGCGGCAGCACGTGCCGAATCGACCGAACACGACAAGAGGCACGCACGTGTGTCGCCTATTGTTTAAAACGATACTAGATAAAGGCAGCCTCATTTAAAAGTCACTTTGGAGATATTTAAATAGTTTTTACCGATCAATCTTGAATAATGGTACTTGTTTACTTGGTCTTACTGGTGGCAGGACCTCTTGTGAGTCCGCACGGGTAGGTACCACAACCCTGCCTATTTCTGCCGTAAAGCAGTAATGCGTTTCGGTTTGAAAGGAGAGGCAGCTGTTGTAACTATACTGTGACCTTAGAACTCGTATCTCAAAGTGGGTGGCGCATTTACGTTCTAGATGTCTATGGGCTCCAGTAACCACTTAAAATCAGGTGGGCTGTGAGCTCGTCTACCCATTTAAGAAACAAACAAAAAACTTGAGACCTTAGAACTTATATCTCAAGATGGGTGGCGCATTTACGTTGTGGATGTCTATGGGCTCCAGTAACCACATAAAATCAGGTGGGCTGTGAGCTCGTCCATCCATCCATCTAAGCAATAAAAAAAAACAGTCTCCTTTTCATAGTCACAAATATTTGAGATGTCCTGTGGTAGACTGGTGGTAACGCCACTTGTACGCAAGAGTTGCTACCCCCACGATTCAACCTTGGAGTAATATTACATACTGGTCTGAAGAACGGTAAAAACGTTATTCTGATAACCCTTTATCCAAGAGTCATGGCCTATCATGGCGCTTCATTTTAATGATTATATTGAGGAGTGAAAGGCTTAAGCGACATTTTTGCAACTTTACAGGGGAGACTTATTTTAAAGCTTAAAATTTGGAAAAAATATCATAGCAAAAAGACTTCTTCAACTATTTGAATGGGGTAAGCTTCATTGAATTTAAATTAAAAATATCCGTTTGTTGATATTAATTACAAAGACAGATGTAAGCGAAATATCGCTTAAAAACCAAATAGCATTTCATTTTCATCCCACTATATCGTGGTGAGTTATAATAAATTAATGAAAACAAAACCACGTTTTAACAATATCATTAACATTTAATTTATTTCATTCATCAATCATTCTAACACAAGCTTCAATTTTAAAACCAATCCTGCCACCTAGCGTCCAGTAGCAGTACCATTTTTTCCCACCATAAATGAGTCAGTCAGCGCAAAAGTGGCCTAAGCTTACTTATAGCTATTACGGAGATAATGAGGTTTTAATTTTTTTTACACTGCTTCATAAGCAAAAACAATACTGGCAAAAATAATATTTACAAAGCCTGTAATCTGTAAGCCATGGGTGAAACTAGGGATAGGCCGGTTTTGTATCAACATTTATTGGTTTTTTTTTATTTATTGCAGATGGGTGGACGAGATCACAGCCCACTTGATGTTAAGCGGTTACTGGAGCCCATAGACATCCACAACGTAAGTGCGCCACCCACCTTGAGATATAAGTTCTAAGGTCTCAAGTATAGTTACAACAGCTGCCCCACCCTTTAAACCGAAACGCATTACAGCTTCACGGCACGCTGTTTTAAATAAATTGCAATACATAAGCACGAATATGAAAAGTTGTGGATCAGACAACTTTTACGCTGACGGCCTTAAATATGAAGATCAATTTTAGGATACGTTTTTTGTTTAAGTACCTAATAATTGTCAAAACTTTTATTTTGTCGTTGTGAATATTTTTTTACGGATTAGCTTAACATAAATATTCCTAATTTAAATATTCATAACGATACCTATTAATTTAACACAAATGAAATAAAAACGCCTCAATGTAATATTTTCTTCGGAATGTCACCTGCGAGTCTGCAAACAAGCAACACGATCGCCCTTAATCTATAAAAATACACAAATTGCTTCTCGTGTTTTATTTTGCTTCCAATTTATCTGGAACCCTCGTGTATATGCACGTGGTTGAGTCAAAAGCGCTCCCTAAATTGGAAAACCGTGCGGTCATGTTGCGTATTGAGTCTGATAGAGGGCTTGTAAACATTTGGCACGGAATGGTCCAACCAAGGTAATTGTCATACGAGAAGGGAAATCAAGTTTCACACACATTACGCTCTCACTACGAAAACAGGGAGCTTTCAAAGAAAGTAGAATAATAAAATAATCGATAATAAGCTGTTTCTGTTTTTTCTTTACTTTGTTTACTTTAATGTTAAGCTTACACAGGAGGAAATTCTTTAGGGGTAGACTGATAGCCTTGAGAGGTTATATCAGCATTAGCCTAGCATGTAAGTGAGCTCTCGGGGCTCAAGCAGGACGTGATGCTAACACTGGCCCTAGCAAGAGCAGTGCTTCGCAGAATCTACCATCGGATCGGAAACGCGACTCCCCCAGTAACCTAACCCATACATCAGCCCGCTGAGTTTCTCGCCGGATCTTCTCAGCGGGTCGCGATTCCGATCCGGAAGTAGATAAATTGCCGAAGCAGCTGCCCTTGAGTTAGTAGGTCTCCTTCGGAGGCGCTCGAGTAATTGTTAGCAAATCCCACCCTCCTGGCTGAGCCCGTGCTTGCCCTCTTGTCGTAGTGAAACTGGAAATACCTGGAAAGGTAATCCTAATAAGTTACAACTGAAAAGATAATCCTTCCTTCATAAAACAAACTGCTTTAAATTGAGTTTATTAGCAGCCCACCAGTCTTGTAATTTATAGCCCGTTAAATTCCCAAGACGCATACCATGATGAGCATACCTGCTAAGACGTAAAAGTTTTGTGATATTTTTAATTTTTATATTAATTTTCATTTAAGTTGTATACAATTAATATTATTACGCTGATAATTATTTTATGTACATATTTTTCAGATTATTTATTTTCAGCTCACAACACTTTTTTTTTTCAATTCTGCACACTTCGTTTACAACTGCTACATTTATAGCACACTACTAACTACGCTAGTGCTATTTTGTTGTTGCTTTTTTTATAATTTTTTCCTTACCTATTATCTTGTAGCCCATGAGGATATTTCAGCTACACCCTAACGAGTGGGTGAGATCACGGGCTCGACTTGAGAGCTGCTTACAGTTGGACACTTTTTTCCAAAATTCTAGACAAATTTTCCCAATGTTAAGACAGGTCTCCTTATATCACTACCCTCCATACTAATTAATTTGACTCGTCCATTAAACTGACTAATAGATCACACTAAATATTTTTTTTTACAAAATATATTTGATGTATGAAAATTGAAAAGCAAAATGGTAGTTCAATTAAATAGATTAAATGGGTGAGATAAGTCCATAGGACCTAGATGAGAAGAAATGTAATAACTTCTCAGTAAAGTGCGGAAAATGTACTCAGAGTGTCTTTGAGGCTAGCGGGCATTTTTATTTAGTATTCTCATATTTATGCCCTTTCACGTACTGAACGGTTAATATGCGATGTTTTAACCTTATTAAATACTAAAGTAACAAATAAAATATTTAACATAGCTTGAGGCCACGCGTTCCTCCCAAAGTAAAAGTAAAATGTACGTAGTGCATGCATTCTCTTTTGAAATTTACGAATAGAATAAAAAACAAACTTATGGAATAACAACACTCGTCAAGCTTTGTGATGAAGTTTACACAACATCAATTTTTTCTCTGAAATTCTTAAAACAATGAATATTCACAAGTTGTGGGAATACAAAGAATACGTTAATGTAAATGGTGCTACATTAAACAGCGAAATCATTTCATTATTACAGAATTCTCTAACAGTACTACAGGTCGAAAACCATTTCACCATCGTACAATATTGGGGACAGATTTACGCCACGGATCTAGATTATTACATCGCTGTTGGCCTAACAAATGACGCTCTGACAGGTAAAAAGTATTTCTACACCACTGACTTTCAATTCTGGTCTTTACTTCCTAGGCCGAAAAAGAAATACAAAGAGCTCTCGTTAATTACTACGTTTCCTTTTCGCGGAGACCCGTCACTCAAAATCAAAGTGCTAGATGAAAGTTTCGAAGAAAACCACCCTGATCGGTGTCGCTTCATGAAAGAAGAAAATCGCTTGGCCGCTACAATCAGTAATATTTGTGAAGAAGTTGAAATATGCGCAAGAGGACAACTAATGAAACGGCCAGATGGCTCTATTACGATAAATCCAAATTTCTATGGCCTTACTGCAACGGAAGCTAAAGAACTAAAATCCTATTTACATATCAGACCTGCTCAGCACAGATGGAACACAAATTTACTAACACGCCCAGACTATAATTACAGTATGGATTTTCTTGACTCTATAGATCAAGATATACCTAAAGGGTGCTGGAATTTATCATTAGAAAAAACTGGAAGTGTTGCGTATTTGAAAAGCTTATATTGGCCCGGTATGTCATATTTTCACAAAGTAAAAACGTCTGATGCAGGATTTCTTTACATCGGTAACGGTCGTAAAAATTTGGATGTACCGTTTCTTATTTAACTATGTCTTTTTTTATAGCTAAAATAATAAATGAATTGAACTACATCACGCTTAAAATCTTTTAACTAAAAACTGACTACATCACTATGAACAAAAGTTCGGCTTAGTCGATTTAGGAGATTCAGTAGTTTTTAAGTACAGCTCTAAATTCTGTTAATGTTGGTTGGTGGATTCTAAACTTAAGTTGTTTTTCATTTCGCTACAGATCTTTAAAAAGTACGATTGGCGCGTAATCAACCGGCTTTTTTGCAAAATTAAGATAGATTCTACATTACATTACTGTCGTTTAAAGTCTCTTAAGTAATTATTTCTAAGACATGTCCACGAACGGTGTGAATACAAATGAAGACGTCGATATGGCAGATTGCGATGGGGAAAAAGTTGTAACTATGCTCGATGTTTTACAAGAACAGCAGGATTTTGAAGACGACGCAAACGCTGTTCTTGGAGCCTCCGACGAGAAGAACTGCACCTATTCTACGGTAAGATTATGTGCGGTAATTCAAATGTAAGACGGCCAAAAATCCATTAAACATGGCTGGCGGTTACAAAGATCGTATAAAGTAGCTTGTAATGGTATTATGAAACGTTTAAATACAAAACAAAACTCAATTAATCATTGATAATAAATACTACTAAAAAAAATCTACCGAACGTACAAAACGGAGAAATTATCTAACAAAAACGCAGTTGATTTAAAATTTTGTAAATGTTACGGAAATAATGTGTTCCCTTAAAAATTAAAGTGAATTTACTATAACTTATGCATTTCATAAGGAAGATTAATAAAAAGTTTCACCAATAATTACAGGGCTACATAAAACGTCAAGCTATTTACGCCTGCATTACATGCTGCCCTGAAGCCAAAGACGATCAAAACCAGAGAGCCGGAGTCTGCCTGGCATGCAGCATCGCTTGCCATGAAAACCATGATCTGGTCGAGTTATATACAAAAAGGAACTTCCGTTGTGATTGTGGTAACCCAAAATTTAAATCCCACCCGTGTCAATTCACACCAAATAAGACTGACTTCAATGAAGATAATATTTATAATCAAAACTTTAGTGGACTTTACTGTATTTGCCATAGACCTTATCCTGATCCAGATGCAACGTTTGAAGATGAAATGATCCAATGTGTCATATGTGAAGATTGGTTGCATTCTACACATCTTGAAGCTATTGTACCGAGCAGCGAACTATATTCAGAAATGATCTGTAAGGCTTGTATGGAAAAGAATGACTTTCTACATGACTACAGTGAACTAGCTGTGAATGTAGAAAATGGAGAAGTTGATATCCTCTCTGTTGATGCTGGAAATGTTGTTATATCTTCTATTTCTTGTAATGGGGATATAAAAGAATTTTTTGAAGAAAATACTCAAGTAGCGTCTGATAAAATAATTCATGTTACTGAATCTGCCCCAGGAGATAAAACCCAAACTGCAAAAGAAATTGATATTTCTAATGACTTTATTCCAGAAAAAAAATATATAGAAACTTTCAATGGACAAGTAGATGATGTAAAAAATGTGAATGAAAATATAATAAAAACAAATGATAAAGAAATGAACCACAATGATGATTTAAATATATCTTCAAAAGAAATTGAAGAGAGTGCTAATAAAATAAATTCATTTAATACTGAAGACATAAATCAGGATACTGATAATGATAATAATACATGCAAGGATACTATAGTTTCTCAAAGCTACACTCTGGAAAAAGAGACTGAGATAGAATGTAAAAAAATTACAAATAATGAAGATACTACAGCTAAGGAACCTTTGGAGATAGAATCTAGAGATATAACACATAGTCATGAAGATATTCTTCAAACAGCTACTGAAGATCTTTCAGAGACAGGTTCTAGAGATATAGCAAATTGTAATGAAGTTAATGTTGGAATTACGGAAATAGAGACAGAAAATATAGAAAATACAGATGAAGATACTCTTGAAACAGCCACTAAAGAACTTTCAGAACTCACAAAAGATATTGATAATGAAGTAAAACCAGAAACAATGCCAATATCAACAAAAGAGTCAGAAGTACTAGATCAATTTGAAAATATGGCCGAAATCACTGACAGTACTGGTGAAACATTGAAACTAATTGATACAAATAATGAAAATAGTCAGAACATAACCACGGAGATTTCAGATCAAAACATAAATATGTTGCAAAATAATGGTAGTGCTGATGAAGAAATGAAAATCTTTGATTCTGATACTGAGACTGGTCTCAACAAAATTACGGAGATGCCTGTTCAAAAAGAAGACACATCAGAAATTAAATGTACTTCTAATCAGGAATTAGAACAATTTTACTCAAATAGTGATGCTCATGTAAAAGAAAATACAGAGATTCTGAATATAACTGAAAATAAAATAATTGAAAATGGTCAAAGTACTTCTAATGGCGGTGACAATATTGAAGACAATTCCCAGAGAGAAATAAGTGCACAAAGTAAGAGAAAATTTATTGAATGTACTGAAGAATTGCCCGTTAAAAAGCAAAAGAGTGAACTGATACATTGCAAAAGACCTAAAGGAATGAAAAAACGTCATAAAGGGGCTACATTTTGGGCTCCTAATTTCAGACAGAAACTATGTATGTGTAATGAATGTGTAACAATGTATAAAGATTTGAATGTCTTGTTCCTTATTGACCCAGAAGACACTGTGATAGCTTACGAAACATTGGGTCAAGAGAAAAACAATGGTGGGCCATCATCACAGTATGAAAAGGGTCTGCAGGCCCTATCATCCTTGGACAGGATCCAACAAATAAATGCTATGACTGAATACAACAAGCTCCGAGATAAATTGCTGGATTTCTTTAAGAGTTTTAAAGACAAAAAGGAAGTGGTAAAAGAAGAAGATATTAAAGCATTCTTTGCAGGGATGAAGCCTCGAAGAGAGCCAGATGGTGTATACTTCTGCAGATAACTGCTAAAAATGTTTTACTTTATATTATCTATGTATTACTTGACATTTTTAGTCCTATCCTTATTTTATTCATTATTTTAGTTACATAAATAGAAAGCTAATTTTGTGATATTTAGTTGTTTTTTCTTTAACCTTAATTAAATTATCCCATTGTGTTATTTTGAAAGAATAGTAATATTTTGTTTATTGCTTTTAATGCAATATAAATTTTGTAGCGCTTATGGCCTCAAGAATAAGACACTACAGTGATGTGACTACCAGGTACCAGTTTTTAGTACGATCTGTTATTGACCTTAAATGACTGTGATTCCCTTACCTTCCCTACTCGTTTGATTTTCAAGAAATTGAATGCTTAGCACGCTTGTTACGAATTTAAAGCTTTAAAGCATTAGTTGCTTTACACTTTATAAAATAATACTCAAGCATTTAAATTTTTTCATTAAATTTAAAAACAATACATAGGCACTTCCTAAAGTAACATTAAAAACTAAAATGAAAGACAATGTATAAAGTATAATTTATGGTAAGAAAATGTTTGATCACGCATACAATATATCATAGTGGCCAGGCCGGTAAAGTAGATGGACAAGCGGAGTAGAACCCTCTGGAAAATCATGTGCTATCACCTGCAATAAAAAAATTTGAGATTTACTAATTACCACGTTAGCAAGTAGAAAAAATATGCTGTTAAATTTTTATAATGTAAATCTTTTTTTAACAAGGTTCTATTCACAAAACAGATAACAGAGAGTTAGGATAATTTTAGTTTTCTGTGAAACTGGTTATTCTTTTGGTTGAACCAGAATTGAAATGAAATGAATGAACAATTTTGAAGTAGGTACTTTACTACTGCTTTACCGATTTAAATATTTTTGCTTTCAATTTAAAATTACATTACAATATGTAATTCACAATTAAATTTTTTTGGTAACTATTATCTAAGTTTTATTGCTCACCTGACTACCTTCACCCCGATCCATGTACTTCACTCGGACACACACCTTGAGTGCATTACTCAATGCTATGATATGGATATGGTCAGACTCTTTGTACATCGGTTCCACTTCCTGCAATAACAAATTAATAGGTCTAAAAAAATATTTTTGAATCACGGTTCTCTTTCCAACTGAATGAACCTAGGCACCTGCATGGTAAATGTCATACGATACTAAAAAAATCACTTTTTTTAATTGCCCTTTTAGGATGACGAGCATACGGCCCACCTGATGGTGAGTGGTTACCGTCGCCCATGGACTTCAGCAATGCCGGGGGCAGAGTCAAGCTGCTGCCTACCGTTAAGCACTCTCCACAATTCTCATTTGAAGAAGGACATGTCATAGTGCTCGGGAAACATTGTGGAGGAGAGCTCCGTATAAAACATACGGTCACCTTTTTTTAACATAAACAAATTCACAACATGTGGTTTGACCATACTTTAAGTAGAATCTGTTGTTTATACACATGAGACTAATTTCAAGACTATGTCGGTGACCATGAGCAATAAGAACAATTTTAAGTGTAGTGCACTATACTATTGATATAAAAATATTTTGGGAAAAAATACAATAACCTTGCTGTCTCTCGCAAAACAAATATCCACAATCGTATTTATTACATTTTATTATTATTCTACCCTCAAACACTAAGCCTGACTACTATGTAGCAGAATCACAACAGTAAGTCAGAAACTTTATTTTAAATTATGTTCCTTTTTGAGGAGTTAACTTGCACATATGTTAGAAATACAAATAATATCAAAATACCACATGGTACAAAAAGTTTAGTGGTTACTGAAAACAACCTAAATGCTGCAGCACAATCCTTTTATTGTAAATAAATAAATTGTAAAACATTTATGTCATTGTTACCTGTCTACAAAACTCAGTAACAGTGCGTGGTCCTTCAATAAAATTCTGATAAAATTCTTGGTCTGTCTGCAGCTGACCAGATGTGATAAGACGAAGGTACACCACTATGTAATCAGAATATCCCTGCTTGTTGAACTTATCATGAAGCTCCATACGAACTGTTTCTATCAAATCCGGAGTAGAACCAGCATGTTCCCCTACTCTTTGGATTACTTCCATAAACTGCAAATTATAATGTTAATTAGATTTGTTGTTTTAGTTTACATTGACAAAGTTGAATGTCTTTTCTAAAATTATATTTTAAATAAAGAAGTCTGCAAACTATTAGCTACTTGATATTAGGAGAAAGTCCAGATGACATGAAGACAATGTGAAGACTTCAAACGTGTAGATCAAGTCTCAACTCTATAGTATCAAGGTATCTAATTATATGGTTCAAGTATTTCTTAGAAACACTGTCTTCATCAAACACTTAAAATTGATCTATCCTAATAGCTTTTATATTCAGAAATATTTTTGGGCTTTCCTGGTGTTTAGACAATAAGCTTTGTTATATTATGCATGGTCTACACAAGCCATTAAGCTTGCCTATTCCAGTTTAAGGCAGTCAGTCACCCAGGCTTTATAAGCATTTGTGGTTTTTTAAAACTGCTCAAACCAGCCACGCTTTATTGCCCCCAATAGTTTTCAATCAAATAATTATGCCAGCAACCTTTTTATTAAATTTTATAATATTCATGTCTGACTTATGTCTGAAAATCTGACTATTCAAACCAATACTCTGGTGAGTTTTATGATGATTAACAGCGAAATTTTTATTTTCTGAGAAAAAACCATAATCTCCGGTCAAGGCCTCGCGCGCGACCCGTAAACTTGAAACGTCCTTGTCAACAAAACAAAAAGAATGTTGCAACTTACAGTTTCGTAAAAATCTTCAACGGTGAACTGCGAAAACCCTAAGGCGACAAGAATATCTTTAGAATTTTTTGCTATTTCGTAAAACTTATCATATTCCTGCTTATCAGTCAGTAAGCGTTCCAAATATGCGTATGAGAACGCGCGAAAGAAACAATTGCCATCGGGACGCGTTCGTCTAATGCTTTTGTATTTCGAAGACAAATCTTTCACTTTGAGCAAATAAATCGGATCCTCGTTATATTCTTTCTCTAAAGTCTGCAATTCTTCAATTTCACCAACCAGCGGTATTGTTTCCGATATCTAAAAACAAACAAACAGTAACGTCAAATTTCAAAGTATGTTTTCAGTGTGAATTATAGTTTTAGGTAGTTTTCTGGTTGTATATTATATATATTACCTCTTTTTCTATTTCACGTTGCTGTTTCATTATCAATTCATCTTGATTAATTGAATTTTCAACCGTATTACCGGTAATACCGCTACTGCTTGATGCATCATCCGCCATTTTCAAATAACAACTGACATATGTTTTGACAGAAAATTGCAACAAAACAAATGACTAAAATGACATTCGTTTATCGTTCAGAAAAGTTGATTGACAATGTCGTCGGCAAATTAATACAAAAAGTATCTACTGTTAAATTCCTTGAAATTAATAATCTACGCAAATGAAATCGTAACCGTGCTAATCAAACACTTGCACTGGTACAAACACAGTTGTAGAAACCTAAGAATATTGAACCATTTAGGTTTAAATACCTACCTACTACATTGCATCCGTGCTGGCCCATTCGTTCTCGTGAAACTAGAAGAACAACTAGTAGTCTATCCTTCCAAAAAAATTTGTACTAAATTAAAATGAAGTGTAATAAATATATAAAATGAAGTATAAACAAAATATATTAAATATAAAATAAAGGAATTGAAAATAAAACCATAACATAAGTTTATATTTAAAATTTATTTACCATTAAGAAATAATACCATAATGTAACCAGTTTTTTTCACAATATTTTATATTAGATGTGTTATGCTATCGATTTTGTATATTCCCATACCAAAACGATTTACTTGCGATTCATGTAGCAGTTGATTCTTGCAACATAAAAGCCATAAGGGCGGCTCCACTTATTGTACCTACAAAAAAATGGCTGCTGTAATGATGTTGCAATGTTGCACCAATACAATCTAGAAATAATAATTTTTTTTTACATTAAATGAAAACGATCATGAAATCACAATTTTTTATTGATAGATTAAATTAAATGACTAATCGTCTAAAAATTAATCAAAAAAGTCGAGCTAAAGTAATAAAATGTTTGACGTTGTTATATAAGGCTGTTAACGCCTACGAATTTCTAAGGAGCAATGAACAAAATTTTATTTATGTTCACCGACACAATTTTTAAACACTTCAATTAATGGCCGTGCCAAGCTAACTCATTCGCAACGTATTAAATTAACAAAAACCTGTATAAAGGAAATACAAGCACAGAATCGATTGTGGAAGTTTTATTGAGAAACCCAAGCATCCAACAAAGGCCTATTTGTTTTTATCGGTGATTATCTGTCCTACATTTCAACCCAAATGAAGGTAAATATAGGACGTTTTTTTTTACGTTTGAGCAACAATTTATAAAAACAAGCTGTCCAATTGCATTAATCAAACTGGTGGGTTACCTCGGTAGTTTTCCAATTGCAGCACAAGAGCGCATTATGCGGCATAATGCTAATACAGGTAGTTTTCCAATTACAGAGCATAATGCGACTCAGTGACGCACAATGCCGAATTATGCTGAAGCTTAGTTGAGCATTATGCCGCATAATGCGCTCTTGTGCTGTAATTGGAAAACTACCCTCATATTGAGCATTCCTATAAAGTACAGTTCTACCTACACATTATACGAAAATATGTATAGTCACTGATACCACTTTAAAAAAAAAACCTTTCCGTATTGGCGGGAACGCGATGAACGAAGTTGTCATTGTTTTTTGTTAATTTAATGTTCTTTCAGTTTAAAAATGCAATAACCGTGGTTTATTAACCGTTTAGCATTTGTGAAAGTGGATAAATATGGGAAAATGAAACAAAACCGCTGGACGTGATTTCTCTTTAGGGGTCATCCATAAATTACGTCACACGTTGATGGGGAGGGCGAGTATCACTGAAATGTGACATAGTGTGACAAGGAGCATGGGATCAATAGTTTTGTGACGTCACATGTTAAAATTTAAATAAAACGCGAAGTTTAGATGTGAATAAAAAACTAAAAATCTACGAACTTGAATTATAGTTATTAATAATTTAGCAATTTCGCTATGAGATTATCTCTCATGCAACGTCATTTAACTTATAATTTAACTTACAAGATTTTATTGAAAAAAATTGTGACGTTACATCTTGGGGTTATAAAAATGTGACAACATATGACAAGGACGAGGTGAGGGGTTCAACAGTCCTAACCTTCGTGTGACGTAATTTATGGATGGCCCCTTACAGTCTATATTTAAGAGAATGTTTTAATCATCATCATCATCATTATCCTGCCCTTCTCCCAGTTACCTGGGGTCGGCGCAACATGTTTTTTCCTTCCATACTGAATGTTTTAATCTCGGCACTAATAAAAATCGAATCACAAGAAGCCAATTGCCATATTTAAAAAAGTAGAATGTTTATTAAATTTATAATAACACATACATATTTAGAAACAATAAGTAGGATTCTATAGCCACAACTTTAAATTGAACATTTAATTTACATTTCATACCTATCAATGGCCAAAACACTACTCCAAAGTTCTAAAATTCCTTTTAATCCGCAAACATATCTTCAATTTTCTTTTGCACTTCCTTCTCTGTTTCCGAATTGAGTTTTTCAGGTAACTTTACAATGTCCAAATCGGCTTCTTCTCCTTCTTCTACTGGTACTTCTCCCTTTGCCTAAAAACAATAAGAATATGTACTTATCTATAAATTTAATCTTAGATAGTTTGGAGATGGGTTTTTTTTTGCCTTTGTAGGCTGACGAGCATACGGCCCACCTGATGGTAAGTAGTCACCGTCGCTCATGGACGTCAGCAATGCCAGGGGCAGAGCCAAGCCGCTGCCTACCATTAAGTACTCTCCGCAAGCCTCGTTTGAAGTAGGACATATCATAGTGCTCGGAAAACACCATGGAGGGGAGCTCATTCCAAAGCAGGATGGTACGTAGCAAAAAAGATCTTTGGAAACGCACTGTCGATGAACGCAGCGGTTCCAGATAATATGGATGAACTCTGAGGAAATTTGGATATTTATTCTTACATAATGTTTATTTTGGTTGTTAGGTTTTTTTAGGATATCTGTAATATTGTTTGAAATAGTCATTANGCTCGGAAAACACCATGGAGGGGAGCTCATTCCAAAGCAGGATGGTACGTAGCAAAAAAGATCTTTGGAAACGCACTGTCGATGAACGCAGCGGTTCCAGATAATATGGATGAACTCTGAGGAAATTTGGATATTTATTCTTACATAATGTTTATTTTGGTTGTTAGGTTTTTTTAGGATATCTGTAATATTGTTTGAAATAGTCATTATTACTGTTAGCCACGCCTTTATGTATTTTTAAATTATTTTATTGTATCTAAATCTGGAATAACACCACACAATAATAATGATTCCTTTAGTATTTACTTTATAATGGGAAGTGGCAATAGCAATTGTAACTTTTGTTTGTTCTTAAACCAAATGCAATATTATTGAAAAGATTTTTAATGTACTAAATCAACAATTTTTTTTTTATTGCTTGGATGGTTGGACGAGCTCACAGCCCACCTGGTATTAAGTGGTTACTGGAGCCCACAGACATCTATAACGTAAACGCGCCACCCAACCTGAGATATAAGTTCTAAGTTCTCAGTATAGTTACATCGGCTACCCCACCCTTCAAACGGAAACGCATTACTGCTTCACGGTAGAAATAGGCAGGGTGGTGGTAGCTACCCGTGCGGACTCACAAGAGGTCCTACCACCAGTAATGACGCAAATTCTAATTTTGCAGGTTTCATTTTTATTCGATGTTATTCCTTCACCGTGGAAGTCAATCGTGAACAATTGGTTAAGTACGTATTTCATTAGAAAGATAATAATAAAATAACTTGAACGTACCTGTTGTAAGTGAAGTAGGGCTCTTTCAAGTCTATAATTGTCCGAGACAAGTTGCGCCCACCGTCGCCTCAATGCCCGCAACCTCGCACCGCTTGCTGTTTGTACGCGTTTACGTTCCCAGTTCACAGAGCCTATTTGTTTACTGAAATGTAATTATTATTTTTAATAAACTGGACTTGTGTGTACACAGTAAAAAAATTAATTATGGTATGGTCTAAATCCTTAATTCCCAAAGTGGTCTAGGTGGACGCCCAGGGGTCCACATGAAACTTAACGGGGATCTACATTGGCGTACTATTTTTTATATTTACCACTCCGAATAAGGAGTTTTCTAAATGAAATAAGTGAGAATTGATGGGTCCCTTGTGCTGTGAGTAGATGGTAAAGTTGTATGGAATCGCTTTTTTTATTGGCAAACTTTCCATTTTTGACATCCATTCACAGCAAAATCAATTGATAAATTAAACAATCAATTCTCACTTTACTTTTCGAAAACTATGAAATCGCGGTTGGAACTTAGCCGCGACGCAAATTTTCGTACTTACATCTAATCTCCACATTTTTACACAGTTTTGGAAATATGGTAGAAACCTAGTTAGCAGGGGGTTCCCTTGCAACCAAATAAATTTTGAAAGTGGTCAACAGAACAAAACCTGGAAGCCTCTGGTCCAAATGATATAATAGTTTGGAGTTATATAAAATCCTAAAGCAGTTCTAACCTACTGTTTCTATGAAAGGCAATAAGGGTCAAAGCAACAGACAATTACTTCCCTAGGCTCTATAATCGAAGATAGACTCCCTGTCGAACTAACAACCATTTAAATATAATTTCTATGTTATACATCTCTTACCGTAACTGGTTGTGTTCGTTTTGAGCTCTTGTGACTAATGCTTGAAGTGTATTGAGGTATGATCTCCATGCTTCGGAACCATACTCTAACTGCAACTCTAAATTGAGAACTCTGATAGCTTGGTGAGACAGCTGTGCATGAGAGTTGTCCACTGACTCGGCCCAGGCACTTGGTTCACTCATTCTTCCCACTGGAGGGGGTGGAAGTTCATACCTGAGAAATTAGTTATACATAATATCTTCAACATTGTATTAAATGAGTTCTAGTGAGTCCACGCAGGTAGGTACCACCACCCTGCCTATTTCTGCCGTGAAGCAGTAATGCGTTTCGGTTTGGAGGGTGGGGCAGCCGTTGTAACTATACTTGAGAGTTTAGAACTTATATCTCAAGGTGGGTGGCTCATTTACGTCGTAGATGTCTATGGGCTCTAGTAACCACTTAACACCAGGTGGACTGTGAGCACGTCCAGACATATAGGCAATAAATAAAAAAAAAAATATTTTTATTAAATCTCCCTTCAATTTGTATTCTGAGTGCTGGTGGCAGAATAGATTCCAATAGTTGAAATCTGATTCAGACAGTACTTTATAGAAATTAAAAGAACAAAATAATGAAAAAAAATAAGCAGGTTTTATGCACCTCTTCATAGACAATGGTTCCATGGGCAATCTCTGTTGCACTCTTTCCATCTCTCGTTGTAAAGCAGGAGTTTCGAATGCGGAACTTGGTTCTGGTCCTGCATTTTCAAGATAGTTCTTTGTGGGTCTATAGCGTCTGCACTCTTCTTCCACCATGGCCAATGCCTGAAAATCAATCCCCATATTTAAGGTTTAAGGAGTCTTCTATAAGTAGGTTTGATTATAAGGACATTTTATACTGCAGTATCAATAAGAAGTGCTTTAATAATACTTTTTTGAGACAGCTTCCCAGTCACACAATCAATTATTACAATAGCAATGAAACAAAATAATAAAATCGTGAATTGAATTGAATTTGAAATTGACATTGAAATTGAAAAAGAATTGAAGCAAAAGTGCTTTGTAGCTTACAGTGCATGCAAAAATTCCTAGAAGTTCTGCATTTCCTAGACTGACCAAGATGAATATTACCAAAATTACTTCGTTTTGTATCACTCAATGCAAAAAGGAACAAACAGAAATCTAATTTCAAATTGATCTTTGGCAGTGGTCGAACCAAGACTATACAAATCGGTTTAGTCTAAAAGGGAAATTATTCCATTTCGAAAAAGGAAGTCCTTCGAAATAGCATACATGTTCAAGAAACAACGAAAAAAAAACATTTTTATATAAATCTCTCAGCGGTGACTGCGCCATTTAGAAGCAGACGAGAATATAACCCACATTTGTGAAGTGTGGTCGTTCAGACCAGCAATACCAAAATGATTATTGAATTTCTTTCTCTAGATGTCAAAGCTAAAGCGATATGAATCTTTGTTGTAAAGGAAATGGTCCAAGAATTAAAAAAAGTAAGGTTATCATAATACTTACAGCTTCTCTTACTCCAGGATCGTCATATCCTTGGTCTATATATGGTAATGCATCTACGACAACTTCTCCTGCCATTTTCTACAAAATTTATAACTCCCTTTACTACGAATGGGTACTGTGATTTATCACTTTATATTAAAGTTTTAACGCTGTTCTTTGTTTATTTTATTTTAGTTGTGTCACTTGTGTGACATTTTTCGTTTGACCTAGTTTTAAGCCTAAAATGAACAGGCAAAAGAAATATAGTCCATATAGCCAAATCTTTTGAATTCCTCGATATTCAATAAATTGATATTAAATTAATATTATATTATAAAATGGAATTTAATGAAAGAAGAACACATCGAGTAGATATTAGATGAGTTGATAATGAAACAATGGTGCTTACTGAGAGATCAACGAACTTATTTTGAAAATATTCTCGAGTGGCAGCCACACACGACGCAGATTAGATAGACTTTCGACGAGGTGAACTGACGTCCTACTGAAAGTCGCAGGAATCTAATAAATACGGTCGCTGCACGTGTAGGAGTGGATGATTTGTGTGAACACGTCCAATGTTCGTTTGATTTTTTAAAACATGTGCCATTTCACATGTATTCAGTGATTAAAAAGCTTTCATTACTACAAAATTAGACATTTTATTACAGATACATTCGCGAAGCAGTTGCCCTTAGCTGTTAGATCTCCTACGGAGTCGTGGCCAGGTCAGGCCTTCGGTACTTTGGGGGATTGGCTTGTGCGGCTTTTCGAAGCATGCCTTGAGCCCGGACGGAAATCGGACAGATTCATCCTTCTGAGGAAAGAGGAGCTCCTCTAGGAGTCATCCGTGGTGTACCACCACATCGTGTTGCTGGACGAAGCTAGAAAATTGTTGGAGCAAGTCGTGGTTGCGTCATCTGCCTCATCCCCAGGACGGGTTCCAATTGGCCAGCTGAACAGTACGGCTTCAGAAAGGGCCGGTCTATCATCGACGCAATCATGCGTGTGTGTACCCTCTTTGATGAGACTGTTGCCCGGGGCGAGGTGGCAGTTTCCTTAAAGTCTCAGTAAATAACCATCATTTTACTTAGATTTCACGCCAATTGATTATTGTTTCAAATTAATCAACTCGTATTTCATTTTACTTCATATTATCATTTTTCATAAAATACAATGATAACTTAGGCTGTATGGTATGATACTTTTGCCTTTCCAGTTGGAAAAATAGAACTACTACAAATATTGACAGTGGACAGTAGCACTATTGTCAAAGAATAGTGATAAATTGATAAATGTAAATTAATGTAAATAATGTCAGACTTAGGTGGTGGTACCGTACCTACTGTACCTACTGAATAATTCCTTTTAATTTGCTTACATACTCTTTTAACGTAAATAAATACATAGATTATACACTTAATATACTTAATAAATACGACTGTCACGGAAGGAAAAAGATTGTTATTGTAAAATAATTAGGTGCTTTTTATATTAAACTTAGTGTAATTAAAACTCGTGGACCCATTAGTCAATGTATTGAAATGTAATTCAATTTGGTTTTTTCATTAGAACAAAACAAATTCAAGCTTCCAAACCACAAGACAAATTTCTTTTTCGTCTTGTTTATATTCTACTGAAAATGACCATCCAAGAAGATTTAACTCAATCCGAATCCCCACAAACGGATTTAACTAAGGTTTTAAATTTGGAATTATTATTATTTGTTGTAAAATTTAATGCAGTACAAACTTCACGGCCTTGATTATCTTTATAAACTTCCTAATTCTAGAAAACACAATATTTTTTTATAAATGAGAATAATTTATTTTTAATATTTAAAAAACAAATTGCAGGTTGCGGCATTACATCAAAAACGTACATTGGCATTTGTAAATCACTTCCTAACAATAAATGTACAATTTCTGAATAACTTTATGAGGAATTGCGAGCAGAAACTGATGCAGTTTGAGAGAAAATTAGAAAAAGTTAATGCTGCCATGGTTTTGTTAGAATCTAAGGTGATTATATTTTTATAAATTGTTGTATGTAAACAAAAACGGATATCTAAAATGTTTTTATTTTCTATCATTAGTCATAATAAACCATTTCTGCAAGACCTTCTCTGGAAAGCTGTTGATTGATCTGATAAAGTAAGAGCAGCCTATTGATATATTTGCAATGCATAAAGCTTCAATTGAATTTAAAAAAAAAAACGGTCTCCTACCAGATTAGAAATTAGACTACTACTAATTTTAAGATATGGCATCATTGCATTTCACCATAATCCTTATTCAGGTTGTGTTTATGCCATTTCTTTAATTGCCCATGTGCCTCAAAAACTTCATTTTAGTTGATAGCATACATCAAACCGATACATAAATAGATAAAACTTATTGATTTCAGTTATCTTCAATACCAGAATTAGACATTCCTAAGCAGACAAATACAAGTAATGTTACAGAGACTGAATCTACTGAAAGTCAAAATGAAACAGAACTCCAAGAACAAAATCTAGAAAGAAAACTAGAAGACCAAGCCCCAGCAGAAATGAAAACTAAACCTGAATATGATAAATTTGTTAAAATGGTTCAAGTAGGAGTGCCATTGCAGGCAGTGAAACTCAAAGTCTCATTAGAAGGTCTCGATCCTGAAATACTGGAGCAATTAATAAAATAAAATAAGATTTTATTATTTTTTACATTATGTTGTTAGCATGGTATGATCAAAGAAGCATACTGGAGTTTACTTTTATAGAACAAAGAATAGAACAGTGTGTTCTCTGATATCTCTAATGTAATGGATCGTGAGTGTAAAATTAATTAAATAAAATAATCTTTTTTTTTTGTCTATTTATAATCAATGTAAGGTTTAGAAAATGTTATCTTTTATCTATAACAATATCATTCTCATTGTTAAAATTGTAATGTTTTTGTTCTTATCGTTTAAATAATGTAATAGGCTCAAATATTTAAGTAGCATTCTTTAATATACATTTTATGAAATGTTGAAAATGTTGTTTTTAATAAAGGATTTTATAATCATGTAAGATTTGTATTGATCACATAGAGGTGGACCTAGAAAAAAATCGTTGAATGCTTCTGAAAGTTGATATATGCTTACCATTTTAATTAATTTATTTTGTGAAACATGTTGTATGCAATTTAATCCTTTTTTTGCAAATAAATAGTATTCTTATATGGGTACTAGGTGTATTGATTTATGAGATTTATTTGACGTAAAATTGGCCATGTTAGTTAGATTGTGTACAATCATGCTACAGAGATACCATTATATTATATTCTAGTAACAATCATAGGCATCAAATGTTGTACCATCCTAAGCAATTGCAGAAATAGTTCTCTGCCAGCACCCTGATAATAAATAAAAATAAGGCTGGCCATACCATTAATATTTTTATGAGACATATTAATTAATGCTAAGCATGATTTTTTTTATCCCTACCATAGAAGCTGATGTGGATGGTAATAAAGTATAGGTGCAATAAATGGGAGGTTTTAAGGATGCATTTGCTCCAAAGTGGTGACCCCGATTACATATTGATAAAGTTCTTAGAGCAAAACCAAATTAATCTGAACTTTTTGTTGAGTATCCAATAAGATGCTAAAACAAACTCATAATTTCTAATTTACCAGCACACCACCTGTCAAATTGTCACCATAGCAAAATTCATTCCTTTATTCATCCATATTAGACGCACAAATACAGCCACTCCAAGAAATATGGATAGTCAAATAAAACACAAATGTAGGCAATGGTCTTATTTATTAGAAGCATTTAAAATTGGATCATCTGTCCCTTTCTCTTCTTGTCACCACCGAGCTCAAAGTGCTTGCATCTCTTCAATGCAACCTGTGATCTCACCTTGCAATCTGCACACTCAAGACGGAGCACAATTTTCTTAGTGGTTTTTGCCTAAAACAACCAACAGATAATTTGTAGCGATAAAACTAATCTTGTTTTTCTTGTGCGTTTCAAGTAACTAACTTCTTTGGTTCTTTTTTTAATGTAAAACAATACTTCGCGTACAAACTTATGCATAATGAAAAACTTCTTGATTTTGCCTTAATTTTAGATATTAATAAAACTGAATCGAAAATAGGTATTGTAAATTATATTGTGTTGTAATGTTAATTATTATTTTCCAAAAAACATATTTAGGTTATGTTTGGCATATCAAATTAATTTTTTTTTATCGGTATTTAGATGTTCGATTTTTTGGCATTTTACATAAGAATAATTTACCAAAGATTACCAATTCTAAGAATTATATTGGCAGAGGTTATATTCACCTTCTTTTTGAAGATGGGTTTGGACTGACCACCGTAACCCTGCTGTTTACGATCATAACGTCTTCTACCCTGGGCAGCGTGCCTTTCCTTGGACTTTTTGTACTGTGATACCTTGTGTACTTTGTGGCATTTACATTTTTTGCAGTACGTCCTGCGCTGTTTTGGTACGTTCACCTGAAATATATAAGCGTTCTTTTGTAAAATAACAACACATTTTCGACCACCAACACATCCCGGCTGAATTTAGAGCCTTATTTCAATATTAATTATTGCGTTGTTCGCGATTAAATACGATATTATTTTACAAATTCACCAACCATTTTTGAGTTCGTTCGGCACGATATCAACAAACGTCAAAAAGAGATACTTTAATCCAGCAATGACACTTGACACTTTGACATTTTTTTGTTTGATTTAAACAGGCAAAGTAAGCATAGCCCATGTTGATTGTGCTATGTTCATTGATATCTATATANTTATTGCGTTGTTCGCGATTAAATACGATATTATTTTACAAATTCACCAACCATTTTTGAGTTCGTTCGGCACGATATCAACAAACGTCAAAAAGAGATACTTTAATCCAGCAATGACACTTGACACTTTGACATTTTTTTGTTTGATTTAAACAGGCAAAGTAAGCATAGCCCATGTTGATTGTGCTATGTTCATTGACATCTATATACATATTATTATAATCAATTTTTGAAGTTTGAATATGAACGTAATGGCAGGCAACACTTGACACAAATGTAAGATTACAGATTTCGAATATTGGAATTATTTTAAATGTTTACAACAAATAATTGTCTTCTCTTCGGTGAAGACAATAACTTCTCACGGTTAGAGCAACATCTAAGAGTTTTATAAAGATAAAATATTAAAATGGTGTAACAGTGTTCAAAGTATTTGCATTATAATTATATTAATCACGAAGCAGAGTGTTATTTAAATAGCTCCTCTATCTATCTACATAATCGTCGGCAGCGATAGTCTAATGCGCTATATAGTCTAATGCACGCTTAGTAGGTGAACTCACGGAGCCGAATCTGAAAGGACTTGCTACCAGTGGGCCGAGCAAGAGCGGTGCTTTGTTGTATCTACCACCGGATCGGAATCGCAACCCACTGAACAGAACCAGAGAGAAAATTAGCTGGCAGGCTAATGATATAACAGTGGTAATTGTGTTAAAAATAAAATATAATCTTCGGATGTATATACTGACTTTTTATTTTTACATGAAGCAATACAACCACTTGTTGTTTGGTTACAAATAGTAAGGCCAGTTCTAAGAATAACTTCTAAGGGAAATCATAGAAATTTTATGACAGCTTAGTGGACCTTTTGGATGAACCTGAAAACATTTTTTTCGATATTAGCGGACTCTTACTTATGATGACTAAAAAGGTTAGAATCTATAAAGAATTAGAAATGAAAAAAATCAACCTACTTGGAGGCAGTTGAAAAAGAAAAGGAAGAAAGACAGATAATAGTGACAAAATGTGGAGAGAAGAATTTTTTATCTAAAATCTTTATAAAGCTGATTGTGACATTAACATAAAAACCATATTGAATAAGAATATTTAATTAAATATACCCTACATGGGAGGTCTTTATATGTTTAACTTTTAAACACCTTCATCATCTTACTTCGTTTTGTGTAATTCCAATTCATCTAGTTTCGTGATTAAATTAAAAACTTTTTTAGATTAAAAACAATTTATGTTACTTCTCTCAACGAAAAAGTCTCAGTAAAAAAATCAAATACTTAGACTATATTTCATCCTGTACAATCTCGTTTCATTTAATTTCATTTTAAATGATTAATAATAATATCTAAAATTCATCAACTTCATTTCATTTTGCTCCATAAAATTTTTCATAAAACAGATTTTACAGAATGTTGGGGTGTACGGTACGATACCTTCGCTTTTCCAGTTGAAAAAATGGGATTACCGCTAGGTAAAACTTCAATTTGACACTTTTGTTTTGGCGCCAAATAACTATAAACAGTAAAAATAAGCTAGCTTCCTAACAATTATTGTAGAAATTGATTGAAATACATCATATCTTATTTGCTTGGTTTACTATTTCTATGAAATTTTAAATATTAGAAAAAAAATGAAGTTTGCGATACCAGAAATCTCCTGGCATAATCGTGATCCAGTTCTAAGCGTAGATTTTCAGCCCAAAGCGGAACCGAATGACCCGTTACGACTCGCCAGCGGTGGAACAGATTCACACGTTTTGGTAAAACTATCTTTTAATAAGAACGAACAAATAATAATTTATATTTTTATCAGTGTTTATTTATACTAATGTTATTGAAAAAAAATTGAATTTAATACTAAAGTAGGATATAAAATCTATATTTTTTTAATACTAGATTTGGTATTTATCAACTACGGAGACGGGTTCAGTTCATCTTGAAGTAGCAGCTGATTTAACAAGGCATCAGAAAGCTGTGAATGTAGTGAGATGGTCACCTAATGGACAGTTATTGGCTTCTGGGGATGATGAGTCCATCATATTCATTTGGAAGCAGAAACTGGAAGAACTTTCTCCGGCAACTGAGGGTGAGGAGCAATATAAAGAAACTTGGGTTGTTTATAAGGTGAGATTTTCTTCATTATCTACTAGATATAATCTGGCTATACATATTCCATATAGTGCCCAATTGTTCTCAGCCTCATCTCTTTTCAGTTGCATACCAACCAATACCAAGCAATGCAATACCAAGTATACACTTTCTTTTTTTTTACAAAATTTCGCTCTTGGTTTGCTATTAAAAACTTATATTCTGTTTTCAAAATGTCATTAAAAATGCATTAAACCAAAGAAAGCCCAGAAACCCTGATTTTCATTTTGCAATAGTATTTTTGTAACAAATATCTTAAACGTACACATTTACCTAAACATGTGGCTATTTTGACATGGTGGCTGATTCTTCAACTTTTAAAAAGCGAACTAAGTCAGTCAAAAGTACTGAACAAAAACAGAATTAAAATACAATTAATATGCAGTAATTGTCATGTTTACATGACAGGATTATTTCAAATTTATAAAGAGTAATGGTAAGAATTATTCCACAAAACAGACTCTTCGAGGGCACATGGAAGATGTCCTTGACATATCCTGGAGTATGGACGGCTTACAGTTGGCTTCTGGCTCAGTAGATAACAAATTAATTGTTTGGGACATACACAGAGCTCGTTACACCACTATACTTAGTGACCACAAAGGGTTTGTGCAAGGTGTCTGTTGGGATCCTAAAGGACAGTATATAACATCTACGAGTACAGACAGGTAAGCTGAAAACAATAATATTCAAAACAATAATTTAACAGAGTAATCTCATCATAAGTAGTTACAAATATTAATGATATCAAATTAGTAGTAAAAAAGTAGTTTCTATACCTGATGAAAATATCAAAAAGGTGATGATTGGAATAACAAAGTTAGCACCCTTGACTGCTAGACAGGATTGTTGGCTTGATGCCTGCTTTGGGCAATTTGCATCTAGGTGTTTAAATCTATATTAATATGTTCATATGAGTTTTTGTTTCTCATAGTAGAGGGAATCCTAATTTGATTAATTGATTATTCATTCAATATTATAAAAGACTTGAAAATGTAATGTAAATAGTTCATATCAACAGAGTGTTTCGAGCATTTGATGTATCTACCAAGAAGGTTGTATCAAGAAGCAGCAAAGCATCTCTCCCGTTCCCCACTGACCATCCTCTCCACGGCTCCAGACAACGGCTATACCATGATGACACACTCCAAACATATTACCGACGACTGCAGTTCAGCCCAGACGGCCTATACATTGCAGTTCCAGCAGGGAGAGTGGAGCCAGAGGGAAAACCTGATGTAAAACCAATCAATGCCGTGTATATATATACGAGATATTGTTTGAAAATGTGAGTATTTTAATTCATTGTTTTCAGAATCCATAGACTCAGATGTGACAAGCTAACTTTTTGCTTTCAATATGGTTTCCAGATTTGAAATTGCACACAATACATGATAAGGTTGTTTTAAAAATGTTCAAGCTCAACAGTTTTATTCTGCTGATAGAAAATAACAGATTTATTTGTATGGCATGACATGTTGCAATTGGAGAACTCAGTTGACTTTCAGTTCAAGATTTCTTTATCTAGTTTAAATAAATAGTAGCAGCTAATAGCTTCCACTCATCTATAATGCAAAAATGTATTTAACCAAGGCTCATGGTTGCATCTCCACTTGCAGCATGTTGCATGAGAGGCACTCATATAACTGTCCGTTACAGCCCAGTGTGTGTGGTACCATGCGGCGAACCAGCTCTGGTGACCCGCTGGTCGCCGATAGGGTTCCGCCCCCGCGCCGCCGGGCCCGCGCCTCGCCTGCCGTCCCCGAGCGGAGCCCGGCACGTGCTGGCCGTGGGGACCAGGCGCTCCGTGTTGGTGTACGACACACAACAGAAGACTCCCATAGCCATAGTTGCCAATGTACATTACACTAGGTAACCAACTATCTTGATAATGCAAAATAACAAAAAATAATTAGTAATAGTGGTTTAATCTTGACAGATAGATACCAATAATATTTTTTTTATTAAATGCCCAACATATCAAGTTCATAACATTACATCCATGATGTAGTAGTGATATAGTTTTGTAAAATTAAAGAAAATTTCTGCTCGACCGATTGAGGCATGTGAACTCCCATGAGAATGGATCTTAGCCAAAAAGGAGTCGCAAATTTACCAACTGGAGAAACTTAGATACCTACTATAATCGATTTTGTCAATTTAAAATCTTGAAATTTATAAAACATTTCACATTCATGGATCTGTTTTGTGGTCACCAAATGCATAAACAAGCATGAGATTAGACCATATAGCTGATTAATAAATTTTTTATTTTTATTTTTATTAATGGCAATCTGCCTATACTTTCAGCAATTTCTGCCAGTGTCGTGTTATGGCTACACATGAATTAATAGTTGCAGTTTTATAATTGTTATTAGAGAGTGTCTTAGGCCAATGTTGGTGATGTCTATAAGCATCAGATGGGACAGACACCTGTCTGCCATCGTCATGCAATAGTACAAAAGAACAAGCCTACTCAGTATTACTGAACTGCGACCCTGCCTATAATTATATCACGTAGCTGTCCGGTGAATCTTGATAGAGACTGGTTGTGTTTAAGTTCCATATTACTGTTGTACTCCCCGCTAAAATAATTTATTTAAATTTATTCTGCAATTAGATTAACAGATCTATCATGGTCCAACAATGGTCGTATACTGGTGGCCTCCAGCACTGACGGCTTCTGCTCCATTATCACATTCAACAATGAGGAACTCGGCGAGCCACTTCCTCTAGAACCAAACACTGAGAATAAACCAGGTGATTCCATTAATAGTTTAGTAATAATTTATAACTGCTGACAGAGTGTGAGCCTGCACAGGTATTTAATAATATCCTGCTTATTAATGCCTATGGCAATCCTAGGTCCTTCCTTAGGTCATAATGCAATTCATTCGAAATCTGGACCTTGTGTCTCCAGATGAGTGGCTATTGACATTGTAATACCTGTGGATTCCACAGAAACAATACTAGATGGACCTTAAATTATCAAACCATATGGTAGGATACCCATCATTCCGTTGTATTTGAGACCACCACTTCATGCATAAGTGGGCGGTGCCTCTCACGGAGACCGTCACCGCTCAATATCGACACATCAGCCAGCCTATTTGTTTATCAAAAAATCAAAATACGTAATTTACTATGAATTGCAAATTAAAGACGATAGCTAACTTCTGGGTTCCGGATATTAATCACTTTAATAAATCTATACGCAGAACCAATGGAAACGCAAGACGAAAAGCCTGCAGCTCAAACAGAAGCGCCGAAACCGACAAAAATAGATTCGTTCATAAAATTCAAAGCGCCAGAAAAATCGCCTAAAAATTTAAAAACACAAACAGAAATCAAAACGCCCGTCAAAATAGACTTTTTAGAGGAAGTCGCCAACCCCTCGTGGTCCGATAACAGTAACAACGAAATTATAAAACATCGAGCGAGCGAACCGATGGACTCCGACGTGACGGTCATAGAAGACAGCGGCGATATCAAACTGGTTTACGAGGAAACTGAAGGTGTCAAGTCGCCGCCTAAAACGCAACAAGCCAACAAACTGGAAACTAAAAGTAAACAAAACACTTCGCCCAAAGACAATCAGTTCTTTAGACAGGCCAAGGTGACAGATGTCAAACAGCCAATAGCGGCAACAGTGTCCAGTCCTAAAGCGCCTCGGAGGGTCAGCTTCGTAACTTTGTCAAGTCCTAAAAACGCTAAAAAGAAATAATAGTTGTTTATGATAAGTTTTAGATTATATTTTTAATGTGTAAATAAATAAATATTAATACCAAATAATGACTTTGAATGGTATAATCATTTTTTTATGAATGTAGTGGTATTGTAGGTACTGTACTACGTGACGACCCGCAAGTGCTAAGCGGACACCGAACCCGTAGTGCCTTAATAACAGAAATGCACAGACTGACTGCACCAAGACGCGGCTCGTAACTTGTCCTATCCTTGCCTATTTATACCAATACGAAGTCCCGCTGGTACCTACTCTTCATTACAAGATATTTTTGTTTGAACTAGTCAGTGAACGCGTCGCTACTGGGAGCGAGTAGGGTGTGGATATTAAAGTTAAGATATAGTAACATTTTCTAATATTATTGGAGTTCTGTGTTAGCTGTATCATTCACGTGATATTCATGGGCCTCAGTATCCGCTTAAGACCAAGTGGAACGAGATCTCGTATGTTCGGACGCTTTTTTTTCGTAGCTATTCTAGTGAACTCTAGGGGTCATGCTAGAATCACAGAACGAGGTGAGCTCACGGGGCTCTAACCTGGTGAAACCTGATGCGTGACGGCATATAATGCAGTAAAATAGCGCAATTCCGCACGACTATGCACCTCGTCTACCTAGGTGGCTTCGAAAGTTGTACAGAAGAGTAAGAAATAAAAATCCATCCGTTGTCGGTAAACATTTTTAATAAATATTTACAATTTAATGCGCATTTATCACATACGAAATAAAAAAGTTATTAAAATCTAACAAAACACAATTACTTAGATACAGTATTGTCCATACTTACCTATTGACAGCTTAAGTCCACATAAAATAATATTTGAAAAGTTAATTTACAAGCAACACTTTCTACTGTACTTCTGTAGCGTCTCTACCAACATATAACGTAATATCTGACTTTATTCAATTACGATCCTTTGTTTACGATATGCGTAGTATTTTCATAATTACATGAAAATAAATGAACATATTACAATTTCGAGGTTTAGACGAGTTACACCGCGCTTATTCGATTTTGCGCCTTAAACCGATTAGCAAACGTAATAAATTAATATATTTTTTTAAACTAATAAAATGGTTTAATAAGTTGGTTAATGGTTAATTAAGGGTCATGAAGGGTTACAAGAGCCGAGCGTGTGAAGTGGTCATACGAACAATATTACGAACCGATATTAGATATGAAAAAAGCAGTAACTCTATAAATTAGATACGTTATGTACAAAAAATATTTTTGTTCCATTTAAAATTCAATAGCAATTCGTGACATAAGTACAAATCATTTGTTAATTATATGTACCAATCAATGAATAGCCTCACGTCAAATATTAATGTAAATTATTATTACTAAGGCGACCGGCATATATTTTCACAAAAACTGAAAACATTCGGCAAGTTGAAATTACAATGAAAAAAAAATGCGACAATAAATCACTTAATTAGGAATAGAATTATTTATTGCCATCATAACTTGTATCAGTCGGCGAGAAAGCGAAGAGCTTAATGTTTCAAATAACTTGACGATTTGTAGAGAATGAAGACCTTTTTTAAGCAATGGGCATTGATAAATAATTAAAATTATTACTAAATCACCATGTGTATTCGTAGAGTACTCAAAAGTGAATCTATTGCAAAATATGCTTCATATTCAGCATGAAACCTCCAAGGAATAAACACATCCTATTAATTATCTAATTTGTGTAAATTAAAAACCAAGAAATTGATAAATTTTAATATCATTACTACATTTATATCAGTTGTAATAAATTTAACATCTACATTATGTACAATAAATGTATTCACAATTATTTTTTTATTGCTATCTCATTATTGATTGTAAGAACTAATTACCTTAAGCAAACTTCAAAATTAATGAGAATTTAAATTCAAAATGCTTGTTTTGGCTTGTCTCTGAAATTTCGCCAACTCCCTATACAGGGTGGACAAAGTTTGTTCAATGATTATTGTTCAAAAAGTTGTCAGTTTTCCAGCGAAAGCAATTTGTGTGTGTTTCATACTGTATAAATATTATACTTTACATTTAATTGTATAAAAAAGAAATTTGCACATTTCTTATGTTTCTGAACATACTTTATACACGGGGACAAATAAATGTAGCCTTTTATAATTCAATATATATTTTTATCAAGATTTATGATGTACGTAGTAATCAGCATTTTAATATTTATTTTTTGCAATGATTTTAATAATAGACATTTATATTTTTTGAAAGAGATATGCTCGTTTATTTTATTATTAATGCAAATAAATAAAAATTCTGTTATGTATTTGTATAAATATAATTTTTTGAAAACAAGAACCGTAATCAAGATATGGCTGCAGAATGGATATTGAAAAGTGAAACACATTTTGTACGAACCGTCACCGATGAGTCAAAATAGATAAAAAAGTTATACAAAAAGACACAGAGACTTGGAGACTGAAATCAGAGCCGTTTCCAGAACTAATCAGTCGTCGGGCAGTCGTGCTGAGCCACACCCTCACGTATCTCGGGCTCTGTTCATGTTCTATTGTAGAAGTGGGCTGCCTTCATTCTCCCTGTGACTCCGCAGCCCTCGCGGTGCTCAGTGGCGGAGGCGCCGTGAGCTCACTAACTGTGTTGCGAACTATTCAGGGGAACGTGGTCTCGCAACACTCGCACTCACAACATTAGTAGTAGATAGATAGATAGATAGTAGATATCCCGGCGCTGCAGACAACACGCGCACACAACCTCAGCGCTTGTCTGCGGCCTCGGAACTAACTATACAATTACACAATACTACTGCAGCGGCTAGATGTACATCGGTGAACGATTACAGACTCAGGAGCACTCACGTTGTAGCTCAATGCGCGGGGGCGGGCCGGGGGGGGGTCTCATCGGTAGAGTTTCGCGAAGTCGCGCAGCAGTTTTGTCATTTCCTTGGATTTTTCCGTACTGAAACAAATAACGATGCGTTGTGAAAATGATACATACTATAGTAGAATTATTTTGTCCGACTTTGTGCAGTTTGGGTCATAAATAATCGTTGCGGTGAAGCGAGTATTTCGCTCTCTCTTCCACTCACGAGCCTTATGGACGGGCATAGTGATGCGCATTATTGTTGTCGATAAGCGTTATCGACAGTGTATTTAGTTTTGTCATTTTGTGGGTTAGTGATAAAAATGAAAGTAAAAATCACTAATCGAACACTTACACCACATATCGCCGCAGCAAGTTAACGAGAACGGCAGAAATTAACACTTTGTAACTTTTCGCGATCTATTTTCATTTCAGTGAAAATTTTTAACATATTGTTAATAATAACACGTGCTAATATGATTTTGAATAAATTCTGCCGTTTTGGTACAAAATAAAGGAAACTAAAAAAATTCAGAGAGCGAATGCACAAAATCACATATCTCTTCGACATAAGTACTTTAATTTGCAGATAAGTACAAATGACTCATAGCATAACAATGTCTTACCACCCTTCGTATACCACCCCGCCGCCATGTACCTGCCTTCGATGACTCATTTGTTTTTATAGATAATGAGCGTCCGCGCAACATGCTCATCGCCTTAGCCGGGATATGATTTATGACCCAAACTGCACGGACTATAGTAGAGTGGTAGAGTAGTGGGGGACCGACCTGCGCGCCGTGTTGTGGAAGTGCTGCGCCTGCAGCAGCGTGGCGGCGGCGGTGTGTCGCGCGGGCAGCTGGCGCACGGCGGCCCCCAGCCACGCGGCGCCGTGCCGCCTCTCCGCGCGCGCCAGCTCCAGCAGCACGTCGGCGGCGCCGGGCACCAGCCCGCGGTGCAGGTGCAGCACGCTGGCCTCCAGCACGGCCGCCGTCAGCGCGCCGCCGTACGTCACCACCAGCTCCTCGGCCAGCGCTGCAGCAGACGGCACGGTCAGTAGTGTGGCGGGCGGGGGGCGGGGAGCGCGGCGGCGGCGGAGAGTGCGGTACCCTTGGCGTGCTGCGCCTCGGCGGTGTCGGGGTGCGCGGTGTTGGCGAGGCGCGCGAAGTCCGCGAGGAAGTTCATGAGCGAGGCGCTGGCGTCGCGGTGGTCGAGCGCGGCGGCGGAGCACGCGCACTGCAGGATGCTGCCCATCACGCCGCACGACAGCAGCTGCACCGGCATGCGCTGCAGGAACCTGCGCGCAGACCACGCCCGCGAGGGCTCACTCGCCAACATTTCCTAGGCCATTATACATTTAGTCCTTCAATGACCCAAAGCAACTATTTCAACCAGTGAACTAACTAAACTTTATTAAAGTTCATATTAATTCATTAGCGCCGTATTATTGATCACGACTAACACGTGGCTATGCATGATATGACTTGGAATGTTTAATTAGTTTTTTATTAACAATGGAACCAAACACATGTGATTTTGTTGATTTAGAATTGTCGACTAAATTGAATATCAAGGAAAATCCATTTAACATTTAAGTAACCCATTATTTCCATTTTATTTCACTCTCGAAAGACTAAAGTGCTCTATGAAATTAAAACTTTGTATTTTTTTAAGTAGTGGGTGTTTTATAGCTGTAACTATAGCTATAAAAATTTTCTTCAGTATATTCATAATAAAAATATAAATTTCTAAAAAACTTTTGTGTTCGTTTATTTTTAGGGGTATGAAGTTATAAGATTTGATAGGTTTCTTGGATAATGATGATGAAAGCTGCAATGTCGAAACGATTTGTATCGAAGTGCAGAACCTGCTGAATATTCCGGTGAAGGTTTGGCAGAAGTGCGGGCAGCCACGCAGACAACTTGAGTGGACGTCGACTTTGATTGGATTTTGAAATATACCAGGGGAACAACCCTAGCTACGAACCCCAAACTAGCCACGAGGTGTATATGAAACTGAATTTAAAAAAGCGGCAACATTGTTAATGCAGGTATTTGATAGTTTGCTAGAACAAGGCTGTCCAAATTACATACCTTTGCGGGCTAATTAAACTTACTACATAAGCTGGAAAGTATAAAAGTGGCTGGGCCACAGAAAAATATACTTTTAAAAACAGAATATTTTCCGGGAACTCCCCCAATATACAAGTACAAGTTACACTTTTATATGATGTCATGGGAATGGAATGTTACAAGAATCTTTGATAAATTATACCAAATATTGGTTATATGTTTTGAGAAAGTGTTCTATTATCCAAAATATTTTCTAATTAAAACATACAAAATGTATTTAACATTACAACAAAAAGTAATTACACTTCAAAAATGGTTCCACGTAAATAGCTACTGCGGAGGGCGGGGCTTAAAATAGCTACAGAACGGCGCGCCAGTTCGCTGTGGCACTCGGGTCGTGCGGTCGTGTTGCGTCACTTTTCGGTTGACCAGATAATTATTATTTTGCGCTTTTTAATTTTGTAAGTATGCAAGCGTGTGTCGTGAAATGGTGTAAAAGCCATACAGATATGAAAAACAGCTGAATTAGCTTTCATAAGTAAGTATACAAACATCGTAAAATTTCATACTATTGGTGATGGACAATGTTATGCAATATGCACGATTACTTTTTCTATGCAGTAGTAGTTCTTTATACTGCTCGGATAAAACATAAGTTTTATTTAAGTAACAAGTATGATATTATGCAGCGATAACAAAATATTTGATTACTGCAGATTTCTTAAAGATTTCCTACAAATGAAATTCAACGTAAAACATGAATAGCCGCTTGTGATAGTACGCTTGGAAAGAAATTAAATAAATTGGACACTTTCAAAAAGAGGCCATGTACATACTTGAAAGTGGTATTCGTGTGCCTTACACCTTGTATACTAGTAGTAGTAGTAGTATTGATTTTAAAATTAATCATCATATTTTTATCTCATGTACTGACTTATAAACTGCATTTATTTCTATTGCAGTAATAAAGTCATTTAATAAAAAAAACCAAAAAATATTTCATGAATTCATTACTACTGCATAACGCCATTGTCATCGTCATAATGGTGCGCTGGGTGGCGCTGGCGAACCGTGACGTTGGCGCGACCAATCGCGTGCGAGCGTTTGTTTATGAAAGAGTGTGAGTGTTCGTTGTATTTGCTTTTATTTGTGTGCGTAAATGGAACCATAATCTAAAGTGCAATTGAAGGCGAGTTCTGTTACTGGTACTGTTCCATAGTTTTATTATTCGTAGTATTTAGTTATTTCGCGTGTTCTGGACTTGATATTATATTTGAAGTAAGAATAATGAGGCGCTCTCTGACCTGATGAAGAGCCGGAACAGATCGTCGACGGTGTCGGGGTGGTCCCTGAAGCCGTGGTCCCGCTGCAGCAGCGCGAAGGCGGGCGGCAGCAGGTCGGCCAGCAGCCCCGCCAGCGCCGCCGCGCAGCCCGGCCGCGCCGCCAGCTCGTCCACCAGCACGGAGCACAGGTACAGCACGCACGAGTGCGCGTGCCGCGGGTACAGCTGCGCCAGCGCGCCGCACAGCGCCGGCAGCAGCGCCGCGCCCGCCCCGCGCGCCGCCCGCACGCCGAACCGCGCCGCCCGGCACACGCGCTCCATCACGCGCTCCTCGCCGCCGAACCTGCAGGGTGCATGTGGTCAGTGCGGGCCCCACGCGGCGGGACCACGCGCCGCCTACTCACTTGTCCATGACGTCGATGAGCACGGGCCACGCCTCGGTGAGCGCCGGCAGACAGGGGTGCGTTTCGGACGCCGCGACGTTTTTGAGGTCGGCGGAGAGCGTGAGGTCGCGGTACAGCGCGGCGAGCCGGTCGAGGTACAGCACGGGGTCGGACGTGGTGCCGCGCTTGATGGGCTGCCGAGCCGAGCACAGCCGACGGAGACCCTCCAGTTGGGGCGCTGACGCTTCGCAGAGGGCTGCGCTCATCTGAAAACAATTATTGTATTTTTTGTATTCTGATTGACAACCTGTGTTATTAGCAATATTAAGGATATAATCATATTAATCAGTACAATAAGTCCGTGCGGTAAGGCATGTGTGTGTACCTGGTCGGGCGGCAGGCTGGCCACGACTGGCGCGACGGCCCGCATGAGCGCGGCGGCGGCGGGCGGCGGCGCGGCGAGCTGGTCCAGCGCCTGCACGGCGCCCAGCAGCTTGCCGATGTGCTCGGCCGCTCCGCCGGGACACGCCTTGCAGATGTTCTGTTGCGAGACGTCACAATGTGAATGACCTTGGAACGTAATGTGGGAGTCCCGATGGTGTGGGGACGCGCTCACCGAAATACTAAGTAAAACTCAATATAATTACTACAGCACTTAAACTTCAATGTCACAATTCATTCACTTTTCCACTTCGCTTCAGGTGTTCCGTTCGCTGGTTCGCTTCGAGTAGAATTGTTTAGTGACTGCCTTCACGTCCTCTCTACAATTTTCTATATCCGTTTTCGCTTTTTACTAACAGATTACCCCGCGCCACCACATCACTTCTCTGACACTCCCGACGATATTAGTTGTTTTAATATCCGCTTCTGATATTTGTTGACAGATGGCGTTACTTGTACCGTACGTAACAGTGAGAAATTATTTGAGGCGAACACGCTGCTACTACGGACATGTAATTCGAAATTACAATTTTTTGTAATCATACTTTGAAAACAAGAGCGAACCCTGTTATTCAACTTAAATTATACTGGATGTTAGGAGACCGCTTCCGAAAACGAAGACAGAGAACAGTACTAATGACACTAATGACACCTTTGATGATGGGACAGAAAAATTCGATCCTGATTTTAAAAAAAAATCGTGTTTTTAAAACGTTTGACGATGTAAATAGGGTTCACTTTGATTTGGGTACTATCCGTAAAGAAATACTGCGTGTGTTTCAACAACATTTATTGAGCGACTGACTTAAGTTTTGACAGGTAAGACGATCATAATTATCAGAGTATATAACCACTACGTTTTTACCTTGATCTTATGCCAGGCTGATAATTTGTTACAACAACGTTTAATTAGCATTATTTACGCCCCATCACGTTAGTACAGCTAAAAGCAATGATAGTTTCATAAAAAATACATTCCTTTACTAAAAAAAACCAGCAATGAAACACAAAGTCAAAAACAGCTGATGCTCGGATCAACGAACGCCCGGGCGCGGCGTTTCTTTTACATGCACACCGGCGGGGCGCTGATACTGACATTTTCGTTTTCGGGAAGTCTCCTAACACCCAGTATATATATATCGACGCTTGAAAGGCAAACGTGACTATGCGACAATAACTGCTTTGTACATAAATGATAGGCAATAACCATATTGGATGCGCAAAAAAAAAAAAAATATTTCTAGGTCTATTAAAATAATTTCAATCCTACCGTTAGATTCGTTAAAATAGAATTTTTTTCAGGTATTTCGACTTTAAATTATTAGTCTACTGTAAAGTTCACGCATTGTCGCTTAGTCACGTTTGCCTTTCAAGCGTCGATATGTAGAATAGGGATCGCAGCGCATAAAATAAAACTTCCACTGTTCAACAAAATAAAATCTTCTGTTATAATAATAATTAAAAAAATAATTAACACTTTTATTACGCCTTGCTCATTTTTGAACCGTCTTCGCCATCTTACTTTTCTCTATCATTCTGTCTGTAATTCTCTTCTCTCTTTCTTTCCGTTTTCTCTCACTCACATCTTAACGCTCCATTCCACACTCTTTTCATACGTTCTTTTCTTACTAATCCTACATATATTTACGATATATACACATATATATTTACACCGAAACATAAAAAACCTGTTCATTGACGTTACTGTAAAAATTCTCCATAGCTTGTCGCTAACAGTCGTTTTAAGTGTTAGGCTATCAGTGTAAGGCAGCCTTTCCCAAAGTGGGCGATAACGCCTACTCGTGGGCGCTGCAGGCCTAAAGGGGGGCCGGTAAGAAACCCAGAAAAAAATGGGGGCGTTGTGTAGAGACTTGGGAAGCGATTTGTAGCTTCATCTAGGACTCTGAGACACCGACTGAGCTCTCGCTATAGTGGTTTTTAAGTAAGTGAAAAAATAATTGATTCTCAAAGTGGGCAGTAGACAAAATAAGTTTGGGAACCCCTGGTGTAAGGAGACGTTACCTGCAGCGCGGTGGCGGCGGGCAGCGCCAGCCGGGGCTGCGGCAGGGCGGCTAGCAGCATGGCCACGCAGGGCGCCAGGCACGACGCCGCGTGCCGCTCCACCCAGTCCGCCAGCTCGCCCAGCAGCAGGATGCACGTGGCGCGCACGCCCAGGTGGCTGCTGGAAGGCATCGACAGTATCGCTTCCACCACCTTCGGCACGTATTCGTATTCATCCCTGGGAAACAACAAATCTATTTTTATAAGACCCTTCACAGAGTTTTTCTTAATAACATGAGTACAGGTATTTTTCATTGAGCAGTTTTTTTTTTCCTACCTATGCTGATAGCCTTGACAGGCTATTTCAGCTTCAGCCGAAGCGCCGAAGCAGCGTGTGTAGGTGAGCTCACGGGGCTGAAACCGGAGTGTTGCTAACACTAACCCTAGCAAGAGCAGTGCTTTGCAGAATCTACCACAGGATCGGAAACGCGACCCACTGAGAAGATCCGGCGAGAAACTCAGCGGGATGTATATTTATTTAGATACCGTTTAGTCTTCTTTGATCATTTGAATTTTAAGCCTTAGAGCGCGAACCGTCGATAGACCGACTCTATGAATGCGTATAAAGTGTGAAATGTCAGAATAGCGACTATTGCGCTGTCTGATAATAGGTATCGACCTGTACGACCGTGTCTTAGCGCGCATATGTACCATATAACATTTCTATTAAGTGAATAATATTTATTACTAACCATTTAAAATTATTACATACATAGTACTTATTACTTTTTTCGAAATTCTCGGATTAAAAAATGTACTCGCGTAATTGAAAAGTCTATTGGATATTTTGAGTTGTTTTTTACTTCTCTGGTCATCAAAACAGCAGTAAAAACATCCCAGGGATACCAACCAGATCCAAACAAAATTTTGGTCTAAAGAGGTTCAAAGGGACGAAGCTTTGCCGTTGTGTGGTCTGTAGTAACAAGGAGGGATAAGGACTGACTCGATCTTCGATTGTGCGCTGTGAAAACGGAGTCCATGGGGTTTGTGTGGGGAAACACTTACGTCAATGATATTATTTATAATCTAGTTTTTTTTTGTTTTTATTAAATACATTTTTTTACTGGTTGTAGGACCTCTTGTGAGTCCGCACGGGTAGGTACCACCGCCGTGAAGCAGTAATGCGTTTCGGTTTGAAGGGTGGGGCAGCCGTTGTAACTATACTGAGACCTTAGAGGTGTGTGGCGCATTTACGTTGTAGATGTCTATGGGTTCCAGTAACCACTTAACACCAGGTGGGCTGTGAATTCGTCCACATATCTAGGCAATAAAAAAGAAAAAAAATACATACACTTATATGACTGTTTCATTTGAGCAGTTTGACATGTCCCTTACACATAACAGAAAGAAATACGAAAATTCCTCTACATTTGAGGAAAACAATAAAGATTCTGTGCACACTTAATTAATAAGGTATTTTTTTTCGCAAACCTTTAGCACTTTTCGCAGAATATGTGAAATTAAGCTCAGCACTAAAATAATTAAAACACTGCTATATATACATGAGATCTGCCCGGACGACAAATAGTGTGAGGATGGATATCTTGCGGTATAAAATAGGTAGTCATCATCATCATAGTTATTACACTAACAATAACATCCGTTGATAGCATCAATCCTCATCATATGCCCAAGAAGGGTGACCGGTCGGACCCATCGAGTTATAGGCCTATCACGATAACTTCCTTGCTTTCCAAGGTGATGGAGCGAATAATAAATACGCAACTCCTGAAGTATCTTGAGGATCGCCAGCGGATCAATGACCGACAGTACGATTTCCGTCATGGTCGCTCAGCTGGCGATCTTCTTGTATACTTTACTCACAGGTGGGCTGAAGCCTTGGAAAGCAAGGGCGAGGCTCTCGCTGTGAGCCTTGATATCGCGAATGCCTTCGACAGGGTCTAGCATAGGGCACTTCTGTCGAAGTTACCATCGTACGGAATCCCCGCGACTCTGCAAGTGGGTCGCTAGCTTTTTGGATGGGTGGAGCATCACGGTCGTTGTAGAACGGCGCAGCAATTCCAATGAGTATCCCTGCAATCTTCCAAGAGCATTGGGATACTTGGGGTCGACATTTCGAGCGATGTCCAATTTTGAAGTCATTTGGAAGGCAAAGCCAAGTTGGCGTCAAATATGCTGGGATTCTTCAACAGAGCGAAGCGGTACTTCACGCCTGGACAAAGACTTTTGCTTTACAAAGCACAAGTCCGGCCTCGCGTGGAGTACTGCTCCCACCTCTGGGCCGGCTCCCAAATACCAGCTTCTCCCATTTGACTCCATACAGGAGAGAGCCGTTCGGATTGTCAATAATCCCATTCTCACGGATCGTTTGGAACCTCTGGTTCTGCGGAGAGACTTCGGCTCCCTCTCTATTTTGTACCATATGTACCTTGCGGGGTGCTCTGAGGAATTGTTTGAGGTGATTTCATCATCTCGTTTTTATCATCGAACCGCCCGCCACCAGAGTAGAGTACATACATACTGCCTGAAGTCACGTTTCCAGAGATCATTTTTGTCACGTACGTACGTTGCCTTTAGAATGAGGTCTCCCCTCCATGGGGTTTCCCGAGCGCTACAACATTTCCTTCTAGAAACCAGGCTTGTAGAGACTATTATACGGTAAGCAGCAACTTGGCTCTGCCCCGGACATTGCTGACGTCCATGAGCGACGGTAAACACTCGCCATCAGGTGAGCCGTATGTTCGTCTACCTATACGGCCATAATAATAAAAAAAGATTAAAAGCACTACGCAGTTTTGGTTTGTTCACTATTGCGTTGGAAACTTTTATCTGCAGAATGAAATAGTAGAAATGACTGATACTAAGGACAATGAATCAACTAGCTAATAATAAATTTAAAGTAATAGTGTAAGATGATTTTTAATACACAGCCATGAAAATCGTGGTTTAATATTTGTTAAACCACAACACTGATTGATTTTCTCCTATTTGGTATAGTCAAGTGCATGAGTGCTTCAAGAATTAACATTTCTGTATAGAGGATATGTAAAGACCTTTGAATAAAGGTGACAAAGTTATCAGAGAAATAACCCCTACTTGCTCCTCAAATAATGTAAGACCTCGCAAAGCTCAGAAAACCAGTTTTAGTAACAACCTGCAGTTAGAAACTATAAGTTATCCTCCATATTCGCCAGACCTAGCCCCAATTGATTACCCCCTTTTCCACAATTCGGACAATTTCCTGCAAGGAAAAAATTTTGTTCTCAGGAAGTGGTACAAAACACCATTGTAGACTTCGGAGAGTACAGATCCTGAGATTTTTTTTTCTATAAAGGCATAAGTTGCCTTCCCTTGAGATACTACAAATTTATGGATAGGGGGGGGTAAATATTGAAATAAGTTTTTATTTTTTTTTATTTTTTTTTTATTGCCTTTGTAGGCAGACGAGCATACGGCTCACCTGTCTTAAACACAATATTTTAGTTTTCTAATATGAAATATAAATAGAAATTTCATGTTTTAACTTTTAAGAGCAAATTTAAAAACTTACGGTAAGATATTTCTAGCAACAGACTGCATAACGAAGAGAGCAGCTTCTGTCTGTTCCCATGAAATGTTAGATTGTAATGCAGCAAACATTTGTCTGAAAACTGAACTTGATCCCACTATGAACACCACATCCTTGATCAGACTCATCACTTTTTGACGGAATTCCTGTAACAATATTGATTAGGGTAATATTGATCTGGGTATCTTCAATATACACTATTATTATACTTATACTAATATTACTATATAAAAAAATGTGTGCGTGTACTAGTGTACACACGTAAGAAGTGAAACTTATTTATGGCCTTATTTTTCGAAAAATGATCTACATGCAACTTTCTAGAAATTGGTTAAATAAAGTTAAATTAGATAAAGTTTAAACAAAAGGATTTTATTATCATAGACATGAATACAAANGGGTAGTATATATATATATATATAGTATATTCACCACAATTGAGACTTCAACTTTACTTGTCAATGTATGTGGCAATATTGATGTTCTGACATCTAGGGGCTCCATTTACATAACATTAGATGTCCAAGTGAAAGTGTGAGCTTGTCTACTATAATCGCCAGTAAAAAAGCAAGTATCACAGCTGGGGTAGCTGGGGGTAACCACAAGCATACTTTTTGAGCAGTTTTCTTTTGCTTTTTATTAAATTAAAATATTTCCAAATGCAGAAAAACTATAATTTCTTATAACCTTGACACTGCAAAAATTTAATAGCAATATCATTCATTTAACATTTCGTCGTTGTCAAACCAAAATCTGCAATGTGCACTTTTTGAGATTTTTTCTTTTTGACCTTTTCATATAGTTCACAGCCCTATCTACCATATAAAAAAAAAACTGTTATGTGTCTATAGCTTTCATTTGATATAGTTCTTAAAAATTCACTTTTATATAAAATCTCATACGAAAATGTTTTTACTCGTTAATTCAAAATAGAGTTTTTGCACATAGCAGATTTTGGTTTGACAGCGACGATTTTCAGACATGTTGTCTGAACTCTTCCTCATAATTGTATTTCAGGCATCCTTATGAATATACACACAGTACTGAGACAACAAACTTATTTGTTACAAAGTTTTAAAAGACCTACATAAAAATCATCAGTTTCGTCTGGCAATTGTGTCAAGTCAGGTTCACATTGACAATGCCTTGCCAAAGCTTCGATCAACCTCTCTATATGAGGTTTAAATGCATCTGTCAATGGTTGGTGATCTCTCCTGTACACTTCCTCTGATAATCTGTACCATAAATTAAATGTTATTTCTGCCACCTGAAAAAGAATAAAAAAATTCTCAAACGTAATTCTGAGTACTTTTATATATATTGTAGTTATAATTAAATTAAAGGAGTCATTAATATTCAGTATAATGGTGCGTGGAGCAGCAGGTAAGTACTATGGATATTTTAAATATCATCCGTTATAATTTCAAATTTAGACCCCATGTCTAAAGAGTAACGACATGTCTAAATGACAAGATAAAATATTCTAGTTGTGATGTAGAATGTTTGTTTCTTTATATTTAATTAATTTAAAAACTTTATTAATCTATAAGAGAAATGGTATCTTCATCTGCATTATGCATCTGTTAACTTTGTAATAGCTACATCAATATTACAACGCCTACAAGCACAATTAATAGTAGAAATTTAGGATGTATAGCATCCCTGGTTGGTTTACCAGAAAGGAGAGTATAAATCAGTTTATATAGATATAAACAAAATTCTCAGGTAAGAAGTAATCTGAGATGAAATATTTTAAATCATTTCAGTATTAATTTTATATTGTACTGAAATTATTATTTACCGTTAATTAATTTTTAATTTGAAGAAATCATTTAAGGATATGATTATTCTTACCTCATAGTCATGATATCCAACACAAACTAAAGCTAATTCTAATGATTTCATTGCAAAATGTGTATTTCCATTATCAGTACAATCAATTATTTTCATCAGAAATGATTCAGCTAGTTCTGTGAACACTCTGGCGTAATTGGACACTTTTTCCTCTTCCTCATGAGCAACAGCCAAGTGGTAGCTTTCTTCTAATGCCACCACACTGTCAAATAGCAACCTGTCTATATTTTCATGGTCATTAACTTCTTCTAAGCATTGTAATAGTGCACATATACAATCAGAAGAAGCATCATGCAATGTGTTGATAGAATTATGGTCTCTCAAAACTTGTAAGCTATATCCTATGACAGTGTTCTGGGGTATCTCATGTAAGTTCACTGCTCGGACTTGCAGCCATGACGTCATGCACTTTATAGATTTTAAGCCCACATTTGTACTACCTTGTGAATTATTCAGACACTGTTTAAGAAATAACATTACTGTCTGTGAATTCAAACGGAGCTGGGATTTTATGTCTTCTCTGCGATTTTCACCCAATTTTAAATTCGAGGAGTCAATTTCCTGAGGTAGCAATGTCAAAATCTCCAATAGTAGATATTCTTTGTTTGAAAATAATTTTATGAGGTCACTTATGCAGTCTTGCCAAGATGGCATTTGGAGGGCAAGATCCGCCAATGCCAAGCTAAGCTGCGTGAGAATTGAAGATGTGGTGTCCGGAGTCGTGCGCTCCAGGTGAGCTATCAGAGTGTCACGAAGTGGTACATGAGATTCTGCTGGTAGCTCTGAAAGGTTGTGCTGAATTTTCGCTCTCATCGTTTGTGCCGCGAAATAACAGGAATTGAAGTCCTTTTTTTGCTGCAACAACTCGTCGGCAATCTTCCATGAGTGGATCTGTGAGGAATTTTAGGTTATGTACATTTTCATGTTATATTAATATTATGAACTCAATCAAATCACTAATCCCAAGTTGAATAAAAATAAGTACACAAAATAATACTTACGGATTTCTGTACATCAGCGAGCCATAGCGAAGCCTTCTCAATTTCATTTCCATTTGGGCCATCGTATAGAGCGCTGATCGCCTGGTAAACAGTGTCCATTGAAGGAGCATCCATCGTGGAGATTTAAATTCTTATACTAATCTCAACCCCACACTTTTCTGGTGCATAAAACGTTATTTTTCATATCTACTTATGAAAGTATTGTTTCGAATCAAATTTGATTACAAAAAGAAACTCAAAACGAAACGACAACGAACCACAAATTGTGAATGACAGATGACAGATTCCAGAGTCAGTCAGCAGCATAGACCTATATAGTAGGGACCATAGACCTTTCCTACTTCATTGGTCAGCAGGGCTGAGCTCGAAATCGTACTAAGATTCAAACTGACTGGAAAACGAAGTTGTAATATTTTAATTTACCTACCTATTAATTCTGCTCAACCCAAACAAGTAGGATTGCGATTTTCTGACTACAAAAAACAGATCTTAACGTTAGTGTAATTTAATTCTCGGGATGTAATCATCTGACAATACTTTAGAGGTTCAAATAGATATTCATGGGACAAAACTTAGCAGTAGACCGTGTCCCTAGCATTTTAAGAAGATTGATTAAAAACTTATTTATTTATTTATAATCATTATATGATAAATAACGACAGAAAGACACGTAGAGAAAGATGTAGAAATAACACAAGCAGTTTGCATTACCGCGTAAAATACCGCTTGATTGATGAAATGATTTGATAATGACCAAATGCTAGTATATTAAAAAAGTTAATTAAAAAGTATCATACCAAGTTTGTTCTTGAAACACACAATTAGTTATATTGTTATGCTATTTAACCATTATTATTATTCATTTTTGAAGTGAAAACTTCTTTAGAATCGTTGTGATTTCAAACCGGATGCAACGGAAAAAACGACAGGTAAGAGACACAAATACAAAAATGTGTAGGATGAATGAGACAGAAATATACATACTATTTAATACAGCGCCATCTGTGAGATTTTTTTAATACTAACGTGTGTATGAAAGCTCTTGTAGTGAATTTTAATTTAGGATTATACGTGAAATTAAAATATCAATTCACAGAGGGCGCTACCTTACAATTATTTACTGATGACAAAATTTTACATATACTTAAGACGTTTAGGATAATTGTATTTTAATTTTGGAAGGTTTCACTTCTACCACGTGTGAATTGCACACATGTTTTTTTTTTTCTTAATTGAGTTATAATATAATATATCCGAAAGAAGTTATTATTATTTACTTATAGTGGTTATTATTAATAATTACTGCGAAATATTAATTAATTCCTGATAATCTATGATGTAGATTTAAATCAGTAGCTGATATAATAACAGTGATATGGTCCATTTAAGCCCAAAGAGTATCGATGAAATGTATTAGTATAACACCTCGGAGTCATTGTTAAAAGTTTTAATTTTTTAACTACTTGGCAGCAAAGCTTATTGGTTGGTTTTTTAAGAGTTTGTAACGACTAAAAGACTAATTCCACACTTACGTAGAAAGACTTCAACCTATTTGGAGGTATTCGAAAAGTACAGGGAAGATGACAAGACATAATTTGGAGAGGAGAAAAAAAAACTGTGAAAGGCTTTTTTGAAACGAATTAAGAAAATAATAGAAATACCTACTATTTAATTATGTTTTTTTTTCTTTATTGCTTAGATGGGTGGACGAGCTCACAGTCCACCTTTGTTAAGTGGTTACTGGAGCCCACAGACATCTACAATGTAAATGCGCCACCCACCTTGAGATATAAGTTCTAAGGTCTCAGTATAGTCACAATGGCTACCCTACCCTTCAAACCGAAACGCATTACCGCTTCACGGCAGAAACAGGCGGGGTGGTGGCACCTACCCGCGCGGACCCACAAGAGATCCTACCACCAGTGATTACGCTAATTATAAATTTGCGGGTTTGATTTTTATTACACGATGTTATTCCTTCACCGTGGAAGTCAATCGTGAATATTTGTTAAGTACGTATTTCAAAGAGTAGAAAAATTGGTACCCACCTGCGGGATTCGAACACCGGTGCATCGCTACATACGAATGCACCGGACATCTTATCCTTTAGGCCACGACGACTTCAAAAACATGTTTCATTAATAAGACCCTTTATAAAAAAAAAATAAGTCATTACTCTATTCTTTCGGGCCTAGTAAATTTTAGACCTTGCCTTTTGGTTTAAGCCAGGAACGAAAGCACATTAGAGCATCTAGGTATTTATTAATATTAACCACAGAATTTTTATAGTGTATGTACCCTTGTCCTGTTTCATAATGCAAAGCGTCGTGATGACGGCCGAATGACATTTGACAGCTTGACATAAAAGTTATCAAAGTTGTGAAGGTCATGAACTTTTATCATCTGTTAACTTACGATCGATATAACAAAATAAATAATAAGTAAGGTAACTACCATAGTAAAAACTTCTACCTTCTAATGTTTCTCACAGGGTCTTCGATTATCCGTGGCATTACCGCATTCGCCAATCGAGCGTCAGCGCGAGCACTTCACATTTCACAATTAAGCATGGCACCAATTAAGGTAAATTGTTTAAGAAAAAAGACTTTTTGGAATTACATAACAGGTTTTTTTCAAGTGTTTTATTTTAAGGTCGGGGATCAGCTGCCTGCTGCTGATTTATTCGAAGATTCTCCCGCTAATAAAGTGAATATTTGTGAGTTGACGGCGGGAAAGAAGGTTGTATTATTTGCGGTGCCGGGCGCCTTCACCCCGGGATGCTCTAAAACACACTTGCCGGGATACGTACAGAACGCAGATAAACTGAAATCGGATGGAGTTGCTGAAATAGTGTGCGTGTCTGTTAATGACCCGTATGTGATGGCGGCTTGGGGAGCTCAGCACAACACCAAAGGAAAGGTAATTCCTTCATTCCTTTTTCTATTATATATATATTTCTATTATACAATAAAAATATATTATTTACGTCATTCTCTTGTGTAAATTTTTCAATGAGATATATTAACATTGAGGTACCAAAATATTGATAATGCGAAATGTATTAAAGCATATATCTATAGATCCAGTAACCACCATTTTAATACTGCCACGTGTCTTGAGGACTGACATTGGATTCACAGTTACATTGTAATATTTGTTATACCCTCTAAATTGAATGCAAGCTTGCTTAATAGTAAAATGTTTTTACTCGAATAATAATTGCTTCAAATTATTTTCATTTACTTATCTGAATTTTTTATTTTGATTTTGTTAATTTATTTTTATCAAAAGTGAAAACAACCTGAAAATAGTTTTTCTGCTAACTACACAGTATCGCAATCAAATATATCTAACATATTACTGAGTGGAATTTAATTTAGTATTTTCTTTGATTTTCGGGGGGTCTTTGCATTAAGTAAAACTTATTTTATGGTTTATAAATTTATTTTATAATTAATTATTACCTATTTTATATTCATAGTTCTATAATATAATAAATACCAAACAGTTTTTAAGTCGTGGGTAATGATTACAATATTGTGCTTCTAATTTACCCGAAACCTACCTACTTGTTTGTGATAAAATATACAATGATCAAATATTAATGACATGACCTACTATTTAAATGATTAACGTAAATAAAGAACAATGCCTTGAATTAACTTATTTATGACAATAAATAAAAAAGGTTCTGTTAGTAATCGTTCCGTTGTGACCTTCTCACAGTCACAACAGTATAAGACCTTGTTACCAATAAATTTTAAGAGAGTATTTTGTCCATTGATATTACGTCGAATCAATGTTTTTTGAATGTGCGGATTACTGAAATGCATAAATGGTGGTGGTATGGTGTAAGCGGACATGGGTAGGTACCATTCCTGTCCCTCTATAGGTAGATATAACTAACTATACTTGAGACCTTAGAACTTATATCTCAAGGTAGGTGGCGCATTTACGTTGTGGATGTCTATGGGCTCCAGTAAACACTTAACACCAGGTGGGCTGTGAGCTCGTCCACCCATCTAAGCTATAATAAAAAAAAAGATAGTTAGGTAGGACTGCTATTATACAATACAGTTGAGTAGATCTTTGTGGTGCAGTAAACACAAAACACAAAGCAGTTTACTCACTCATCTGAATACATAATAAAAACTGAGTATACAACATACATACTAATAATATGTATTATTTGTAATTGGTGATTTTAAAATTACAAGAGCCATATTTAATGAAAAAATGTCCAAAAGCTTATTATGAATGTGGGAGCTGTTATCAGACATTATAAGATGTTATGAGGTCGTCTACAGGGCAGCGGCGACCGTGCCATGACCAATGTGTACATGTGACAAAACAATAGCAATGTGTGTCGTCATCATATTTATCTTATTTTTGGATTGAGTTTTTGCCCGCAACAGAGTAAACGTGATTACGGTATTACAAATAGTATAACATAAAAAGTAGGTGTGTGAACTAGTGCAACTGCTATATCGATCCTACGGCAGGCGGCACGTAATAGTTTAACTATGAAGATAAATAGTTATTGAGTAGTCAGTGAAGCCTGTGTTAGTAGTGAACACGAGATTGAAGTTCGTTTTCACCATTCAATCCGGAGCGTATGATAGTTTTTCGGCAGACAAGACATTTTTAAGTTATAGATGAGCCGACAAGCTGATTTTCTTAACAAGCTAATCTTCTACGGTAGGCAGCGGCTTGGCTCTGCCCCTGGCATTGCTGAAGTCCATGGGCGACGGTAACCACTTACCATCAGATGGGCCGTATGCTTTTCTGCCAACACGGGCAATAAAAAAAAACCTTGAGTGGCCACATCTTATCGAAAAAGTTTAATTAGGTACATTGTAATAACGGCTCTACAATAACTATTGATAGCATCGAGGCGGTAGTTAGCTACTGCTTAGCTCTTTATGTCAAGAGAAGGTGATTACGCGAAGTACCGAATGTGTCTGGTTTGGCTTTTTCCACATTGCTATTCCTTCATGCTGAATGTCATAGTCAAAGGTTTTAAACATGTATCTATTTAACTTCTCTGTTTGTCAACCGATTTTATTTCTTTATTTTAGTAGCTATTGACGAACTAGGGTTGTCAATTTAAAAATATTTGTAGGTCATTTATTGAAGTAGGGCTTCAGTTTTTTTTTTCTTCAATAAATCAATAAAGAAAATGTTATATATAAAATGAATCGAAATCTTGAAGTGTCTGCGATTATGTTTAATCATTGAGCAAACAATAGTTTATTTAAATAATTAATCAAAGACGGTTCAACAGTGCAAATATGGTATGGTTAACATTTTTTAAGGTTTTGTGTCATTCTACACAATAGTTAGACATGCCTTTCTTGTGGAGTTATAATACTAAATTTTTTAAGTAACTAAAAAAGGTAATTTATTATTCATAGTGCGGGCCGTGACTCGTATGAAAATCGATACCATTCGCTATATCGAGTTAAAAAGTAGTTTGTATTTTTTTTATTGCAAACATGGATGGACGAGCTCACATCCCCCTAATGCGAAGTAGTTACCGAAGCCCATAGACGTCAACAATGTAAATGTTGCCACCCACCTTGAAAGATGAGTTCCAAGTCTCAGTTTAGTTTAGTAAATATTACTGCTTCACTGCAGAAATAAAAAGGGTTGTGATACCTACCCGCGCGGACTCTTAATACTATTAGTATATTGATTCACTTTGAAATTTGTTAACCGATGCTCATACCGTTGTCAAGCCAGACTAGCAGGGGCGTGTAATGCGTTCAGGATTTGGATATATGCCAATCTATCTGTATAAATTGGCTGGAAATAAAAAAAACCAGCTACTCAGCTGCTCGGAAAACTGCAACGTGTTTCATAAGTTTTGAATTATAAATGTATCGCGGGTGAAACCGTATGACATATCTAGTATTCATATCAAGGTCTCCGTGAAACACTTACACTGTTACGCTTATTTGAATGGTAACGTAAATAGGCTAGGAAAATTACAGAAATAATTCCGCATTACTCACCTCGATCAAGGCAATCCGACAGTAATAATACTTTTGAATAATAATAAAAAAAAACAATTTCGTTGTCAAATGAAATCCATTAAAATTATAATTAAAATTATTCTTTTGTGCTATAAACTAGTGCTAAGTATCTTTATGAATTGATTTAATATTCCGTGGTGAGCTATATCACACTACTGTTATTTAACGAATAGTAGAACATTTAATTGATTATTCAAGAATACATTTATTTTTTATTGCTCAGATGGGTGGACGAGCTCACAGCCCATCGGGTGTTAAGTGGTTACTGGAGCCCATAGACATCTACAACGTAAATGCGCCACCCACCTCGAGATACAAGTTCTAAGGTCTCAAGTTTTAGTTACAACGGCTACCTTTGTAGGCTTTGTAGGCTTTGTAGGCAGCGGCTTGGCTCTGCCCCTGGCATTGCTGAAGTCCATGGGCGACGGTAACCACTCACCATCAGGTGGGCCGTATGCCCGTCTGCCTAAAAGGCAATAAAAAAAAAATAAAAAAAATACCCCACCCTTCAAACCGAAACGCATTACTGCTTCATGGCCGAAATAGGCAGGGTGGTGGTACCGACCCACGCGGACTCGCAAGAGGTCCTACCACCAGTAATTACGCAAATTATGATTTTGCGGGTTTCATTTTTATTACACGATGTTATTTCTTGGACCGTGGAAGTCAATCGTGAACATTTGCTTAGTACGTATTTCATTAGAAAAATTGGTACCCGCCTGAGATTCGAACACCGGTGCATTGCTTAACACGAATGCACCGGACGTCTTATCCGTTAGGCCATGACCACGACATTATATTTGTTTATATTATTTCAGGTGCGTATGCTAGCCGATCCCAGCGGCAACTTCATCAAGGCTTTGGACCTGGGCACCAATCTGCCGCCGCTCGGGGGTTTCCGCTCCAAAAGGTTCTCCATGGTCATTGTTGACAGCAAGGTCCAAGATCTGAATGTGGAGCCCGATGGCACCGGCCTGTCTTGTTCTCTCGCCGATAAGATCAAAGTGAAGTAGGCAGTGTGTAATATCGCATTGCAAAATTGAATAACATAAAAACGAAATTAAGGCGATTTTAACCTCATTTGTGACTTTTCTTAACTTATTTTTTTCTCGCGGTGTTTAAGATACTTAGTAAATTGAGGTAAAGGCTGTATTGAATGTTACCAACGCACAGTCGAAATGCCAAGAAAATTGTAGGGAAATCGGCATTAATTCTCGTTTTCATGTTATTTTTCTGCTTCGGTTGTTTTAGTTGAGCAATCTTACGTATAAGGCAACGCTATTAATCAATCGAACACATCTCACTATGGATTTGAATAGAATAGTTTGAGATCTTTTAGATTTGCTATTTATGTAACTATAAACTTCGAATATGTATAATAATAACATTTTTGCTGTTGCATTTAATATCTCTTGTTAAGTTTTTGTCAAAATTAGAAAGTTTTAAAAATTACGTCTTTCACTATTCATGTAATTACGAAAAGCGGCGCAAAGAGCCAAATCAAAAAAAAACATTTCGTGCGAACTCACGAGTGAGTAAGATCCCATATCAGTAAAATGTGATTTTATAATTATAGCTTTACACGATTAGTCTGTCGGCACTCTTTGTGATATGGTAAACAATCAATATAATAAATAGAAACTATTGTCATATAATTGCAGTTTTATTATTCTTACCCCTGATTGACTCGGCGGCGCAGTAATAAGCGCCCCTAACTGTCACGCCGAGAGTCGTGGGTTCGATTCCCACATCGGGCAAACATTGTGTAGTGACCGGGTTTGCTTGCCCTTTATCTGGGTGTTCATTAATTAACTACATTCCCGATCCTGCGGACAGAATGCAAAGCAGTCGACGTCGCTCCAAACACGTCATTTCGAATCCTCCCGATCCACTAACTGTGATTTTAGGTACCTCAAGCACCGGTCATCGTTCTCGTCGAACCTGTCGCTTGCGACGAAGGGCTCGACGAGTAAATTAACCCTCAGACACAGCTCACTGAGTTTCTCGCCGGATATTCTCAGTGGGCCGCGTTCCCGATCCGGTGGTAGATTCTGCGAAGCACGGCTCTTGCTAGGGTTCGTGTTAGCAACGTCGTCAGGTTTGAGCCCCGTGAGCGCACGTATTATTTTTTTTTATTTATTGCTTAGATGGGTGGACGAGCTCACAGCCCACCTGGTGTTAAGTTGTTACTGGAGCCCATAGACATCCACAACGTAAATGCGCCACCCACCTTGAGATACAAGTTCTAAGGTCTCAAGTATAGTTACAACGGCTGCCCCACCCTTCAAACCGAAACGCATTACTGCTTCACGGCAGAAATAGGCAGGGTGGTGGTACCCACCCGCGCGGACTCACAAGAGGTCCTACCACCAGTAATTACGCAAATTATAATTTTGCGGGTTTCATTTTTATTACACGATGTTATTCCTTCACCGTGGAAGTCAATCGTGAACATTTGTTGAGTACGTATTTCATTAGAAAAATTGGTACCCGCCTGCGGGATTCGAACACCGGTGCATTGCTTCAACACGAATGCACCGGACGTCTTATCCGTTAGGCCACGACGACTACTAAGTATTAGTTAAGGTTCCGCTGATATAGCCTCTTAAGGCTATCACCTTAGGTAGGGAAAAAAGAAATTAACTATAGTATAGTCTGGCCATAAAAACTGTTACATAAACATTTTCTTTTTTTCAACTTTTTAATTATTTTGAATTTGGAACGTGTATATTGTTTTAAAAACTTCTTTCGATTTTGTGCCATTACAATACGGAATGCAGTGTTAAAGAAAATAGGATTGCAGTGATCGCCGAAAGTGGGTATGGAGCCGTCGGTCATATTCCAGACACTTCAAAAGCTGTATGTTCATATATCGTACTATCAACAGATACAACAACACTTCGTCTGTCGAAGACTAGAAAAGATCGGGGTTGCCGCGTGCTATTAGAACTACAAAGGCTGTTAAAGCTGTTAAATTAAAGCCAGAATTCGTCGAACCTCCATTAGGAAGCACAAAATCTTATCGCGAGAAATGAAGATTCCCGCTAGGACTATGTCGCGTATTATAATTATAATAAATTTAACAAATTGAGAGATTACGCAGATGGCATCAACAATATAATATTAACCAATGATCCTCACACTAGGCATAGCCTGTATCATGAGGACCAAAATACGATTTACTATGTATATGTCGCAGGCAATTTGTATGATTCCGCCGTTTACAAACGGCGTCGTCATTTTAAAAACGCTCGCCATTATGTAAAATGCCGAAGGCAAAATGATAACTCGTTCAATTGTTATAATTTCGACATTGGTTGTAGTTTTAGGGTGACCATAATAAAATGTAGTTTATAATAATTATCAGCCTTTATTTCCGCAATCAAGTACTAATGAAGATTTCAAGTAAGACTAAATTATGTGCTTTGTTCTCTTGAAGTACTGGCCTAGTTAAAATATTTAAATAACAAAACAAAATTTAAATGACAATAATAAAACTTATATGGATAATATGACACTTTCAAATAAAAACAAACAGGTCATTTATGTAAAATCATATTTTGTAGTCTGAAGTATTCATCATTCTTAGAAGACATTTCCCTAAATTAGTAAATGAAGATTATTTAAAAAATTAACGTTTCTTGATTTATTTTTAAATAAAAAGTAACAAAAGTAACAATAAAAATGTATATTACTTATTTGCGCATGTCCCATTTCATGACTAAAAAACACCAAGGCATTATAATATTTAAGTTACAAAGCAGATAAATTGACATAACGATACGAATAAATCGATCGCTTTTCTCTCAATAATAATCCTTCATTCAATCTATCAGGATACTGAATTTTGTCTCGACCACCATGTCCGTAACCTCTATGAATCTCTAACAATACATCGTAATATTCTTCTAACGGTATTACACGAACGGTTGGACTGCCAAGGCTATTCCTTTTTAAATAAGGCAGTCCAATTCACTGATGCTCATAACCTCGTATTTTTTTGACCTGCAGGAGTCCTCCGGGAACCAGATTCTGTGGCCACCTTAGCCTTTTTTAGGTGCCGGATAACCTCAAAAATTTTACTATTTGTCCAAAGCTTTTTTACAGCTTCCGTTTGAGAATTGTATATTTTTTTTAATTCACTATAATATAAAGCTTTAAAATCTTCTAAAATGTCTTCTCCACACGAAATATTTGCAGTTTTCAGTTATTTTTTGAGACACAAAATGACGCCATTGTTATTGTTTTGATCAACAGTGGCGCGCGTGGTAAAAAAATGAACTAAATACTTCAATTTGCCGCGGCATTATGAAAACGGCGTTTGAATTGTCGATGTTATGTTGTGGCATATTATAAAGTGACACGGCAATATACATTTTGCCTTCGGCATTTTACATAATGGCGAGCGTTTTTAAAATGACGACGCCGTTTGTAAACGGCGGAATCATACAAATTGCCTGCGACATATATAAACGACCTCAAAACGACACCATTATTATTAATAATTATTACACTCAAAAACATGCGTCACAAGATTTCACAGGTTGAAATTTGTGTAGTAGAGTAGTAATAAAAATAACACGTCAAATAATTATACATACCTATGAGGGGAACGTAGAAATAAACAAATATAAAATAAAGTATGTAATAAGAAAAAATAATCAAAAAAGATACAAAACTAATAAATCTACTGCTACTTTTTACTTTTAATTAGGTTCTCTGTGTTCATGTAGTTCAATGTTAATAACCATTTTTTACTAGTGGTTTAGCTTGCCTAACCGTTTTGTATTTTAGGTTTTAATTACAATATCTAATGACCGCGTTACCTTTAAATAAAGTACTTAGCCATGTCTTGAAATAGAAGTTTTTAGATAGATGAAAATTTTGTAGCTGTCAAAGTTACAAGTAATTTGGTGGTAATTTGTAAACCCTGCGCTTAACCAAGGAATCGTATATTTCAGAAACGAACACCGCTCCATGTATCATTAAAAATATTATTGAAATGAATAACTGAGGCACGTTGAGTTCGTTCAATTACCACAGTTTAATTAAAAAAACCCTCGAGGTCCTTAAAATAAGTAAAAAAGAAAGTTGTCTGGTAAGCTAGGCATTCTATCTCTAGTATTTTTCTTATGGTTCTGCGCCTAATACGTATATAACTAATGTACCCAGTGTAGTTTGCTGAAACTAAAGTGATAAGGATCTCTTTTAGCGAAACCACGAAGTGTAATGTCGTGAGACCAAGGGCGGATCCAGGGGGGGGGTCATGGGGGTCATGACCCCCCCTGAGCTGGTTCCAGGACCTAGGTGGACCACATATTGAACATAATGATTTTAGGACACAATTATTGTTGCTCCTTATATTGCTCCTTAATTAATTTAATATAATATAATAACTTTGTATGATGGCAAATGTTTGGGAACGAACGCAACGAAAATTTGAATTTTACAATCGGAATCGGAACGACTAAACTTCAACATATCATAACATAGTTCTAAGTTAAAAAACTAAAATTTCTTTCTACCTTTAATGTGCTTATAAGTGTACCTGTATAAGTATTCTTAAAAATTATTACTGTCAATTCATTAATTACAAGAAATGGTAAGTAATCAGTTTCTCATTATTCCAGTGCGTGTGTTTTAACTTAAATGTTATTGTTGTTAATGCTCAAAAGTACCTCATAGGTAAATATGTAGGTACCTACTTACTGAAAGAGTCCTGCGTGACTTATGTACCTACTTATATATATTTTTTGGACGAGAGAGATTGAAGAGCATAAGGTTACTGACCCAACCTAAAATCTTAGATAAATTCACACAATGAAATCAAGTGTATCGTCGTGACCACATTGATTTTAATGCTTTTAAAAATAAAATAAGAGAGCAACCTACAGAATGAGTAATAGCATGCATAAACTTAAAAATAATCTTCGTTAAAGTTTTTAAAACACCTAGCGAAAACTTCGATACAAACTATTGCGCGACACAAAAACATTGCGCTGCATTAACAGGCATGCATTTACAACAAGTAAATAGTAATCTACCTACCTACTACTTTTTACTTTATTTTTATATTACAGATTTTTTAAAACTATAAAATATTAGAGAACCTGAAATTTTTTTGCTTGTTTAACACTTTCTTCTTCCTATTCATACACTCTTGACAGAGTGGTCGTGGTCATGCATCAGTCGGATCCTGCGATACCGATGCTCTCGCGATGCGACGCCATGTGGCACGATGTTTCGCAGAGTGAGAGTAAACATTTATGTTGGAGTGAGTAACAGATTTTATGAGGTCGGTCCATCGTGTTGGAGATCGTCCGCGAGATCTTTTGCCCTCGACTTTCCCTTGCACCACCAACCGCTCAATGGAGTCCTCATTACGAGTGATGTGCCCGAAGAAGGATTCGTAATTGGACTGTTGACGATAGTCTCTCCTTGATGTTGAGCTCTTTCAGGATCGAAATGTTGGTACGGTGCGCGGTCCACGGAATTCTGAGGAGACGTCTCCAACACCACATTTCTAGTGCGTCGATCTTACGACGGTCTTGCATCCTCAGCGTCCACGTCTCAGCCCCATACAGAAAGATTGGAAAGACCAGGCATCAGGCATCTAACCGAACTTTTGTGTTTTTGGTTATTCTGCGGTCTCTCCAAATCTTTGTTAGCCTCTCAACTGAGGATCTTGTCACGGCGCAACGTCTTTGGATCTCATCTTCGCAGCCTCCAGCGTTGGTGATAGTGGAGCCTAGATATACATAGCTATAAACTACCTCGCATCCCGCTATATGTTGGACTTCCGGTTGGTTGATGTTAGCACGATCTATGATCATCATTTTGGTCTTATCACGATTGATCGCAAGTCCAAAATCCAACGCTGTAGTCTCCAGCTGGCGAAGAAGCACATCGATTTCGTCTCTGGTTGACGCCAAGAGGGTAGTATCATCGGCGTATCTCAAGTTTGATATTTTCCGACCACGAACGGATATTCCTTTATCCCAATCTTCAAGAACTATCCGCATTATATACTCTGTGTATATATTAAATAAAAGAGGAGATAGTATGCAGCCCTGCCTAACGCCTGCCTGTGTGCTGAAGCGTTCGGAGTCAATACTGTCAACACGAACAGCGGCCGTGCCATCTTCGTACAGACGTCTGATGGTGTGTACAAGATGTTGCGGTACACCCATTTCCGTCAGTCCGTCAGTGTTTAACACTATACTTACCTAAAGTAAGTAGGTATTACCTATTTGACGTAAGTACCTACCTAGGTAATAAAAACTTTTGCGGAGTTTTGCGTCATACCCCTTGACATACCTCTAGCTGCTATGACAAACCATTCACCACGGTTATAGAATATAAATAAGCTGCCTCATTCCGGGCATGATAGTGCTTCTCTGGATGTCTTCAAGAGAAGATGACAATATGTACGTGTATATGTAGGTACAAGTTATTATGTGTTAAGTTTTCGAAGTGTACAATAAAGAATAAATACTTTTAAGTACAGTATTTACGTACTTTAATAAAATACCTACTTTTTACTTGTATCTATTGTTATCCAAATTTAATTATAAGTTCTTGACTTGACCATGACTATGTGACCCCCTCCTGGCACCAAAGCTGGATCCGCCCTTGCGTGAGACTCCTATTTTTGTAAATTCAGCTTACCTTACATAGAATGGCGTTTTAGAAAACATTTCATCTTTGTTTACAACATTGAAGAAATGCAATAAAGAGCTATTTATGTAATTGCTTCTATTATAAAAAAATTCATTCAATTTTCATTTAATTCCTAATATTTTAAATACAAGTAGCTCTGTTTGGCTTTATACTTTCTTTTTTCACGGCATTCTATTGATTTTATGACCCAAAACCAAGCTTATGTTCCCGTTGCTTTTTCAGTCAATGAAAAAAAAAACAATGGCAAACTCCAATGCCAAATTTTGTCAAAACAAACGACCGTCCTACAAATCTGAATTAAAATTTACAATGTTTTCAATGAGAATGAAAATAATATAACTTCTCCTGTATTATACATGATAAGTAGAAATTTGTTTAGTTGTTCTAATTTTTTTAAAACAATGTTGGTTGTGTTTTCTATCACAATTTTAGCAAGTTTTGTTTTATGCCAGATTATTGTTGATGAAAGTGTTTTAGTTGATGAGTGGTTGGACCAAAATGANTGAATTAAAATTTACAATGTTTTCAATGAGAATGAAAATAATATAACTTCTCCTGTATTATACATGATAAGTAGAAATTTGTTTAGTTGTTCTAATTTTTTTAAAACAATGTTGGTTGTGTTTTCTATCACAATTTTAGCAAGTTTTGTTTTATGCCAGATTATTGTTGATGAAAGTGTTTTAGTTGATGAGTGGTTGGACCAAAATGAACTTGGAGAATACAAACAACTCTTTAGAGAGCATGGTAAGTGATAAATGTAGATTTCGTATAAAAATTTACAATTAACTTTGGAGCGCTTAATATTGATAATGTGCTAACGTTCCAGGTGATTTCTTTAATGTTTCGCATTAATAGTTTGTCTTTATTTTATGTTGGCATCCTTGTTACTCCACTACCAGAAGCTTAAACTTTAGCTCAATGGTATCTAAAGGTAGAATTATGAAGGGACAGATATGTTAATGCATTTTTCTACAAACTAAAAAAACTTATACCTTTTTACTCACCGATGCGTTAACCTACTTAACCTTTCCGGTAAATTATATATCGTCTCCGATAACTTATCGCACTTCTTCATTTAAACTAAATTCTACCAATAAAAATACAGGTAAAAGTTTTCCATTCACCACCATCCAAAAATTCCACATCTAACTTGATATTGGAAACATAGGCATAAGATAAGACCAGCTACATCCCGAGGGAATATCAAATATCCCTAACAAGTAATATTTCAGACTGAGGATTGATCCTGCACCCATTATGCTGTTGTAAGGTTCTGTAACCATTAAACCAAATATCAATTAAGGTACACTTCATCATCAAATTCAGCAGTCAAGAATTTTTTTTTTATTTTTTTTTTTTTTTTATTGCCTTTTTTTTTATTACCATTATTTGGGTGTTCAGATATTATTATAACAGTATTATAAGATCAGAATTAGATATATATTACACTGTGCATAGATGTTGTAACTTAAACATTCCAGAAGATGAATTAGAATATGCTATAAAATAGAATGTAATGAAAAGGTAATAATATTAAACTAATAAATTAACTAAGCCAGGTGTAACCTCTGGTCCAGATATAGGAGCAGAATGTCATGTGAACTTGAGTTTACAGAAGTATTGGTCAAGGATTACTGATTTGCGCAACATCACTCCACAACTTATCAGATTTAGTCTGATAGGAAACATTATTTTGAGCTAAAAAGCCTAATGCAACTGGAAGATGTAGGGATATAGAAACTTCTCAGAATTAGCATGCTATAACATAGGGGTCCTACTTGGAACTAAATGCAAAAACTATAATTGGAAGAGACAAAAGACAGCAGCAATAAGTAGCAGAAAAGTGAATAATCAGGTGTGGCTAAAGTTTATTTAAATCCATAAAAAAATATGATTATTTTCTCAGTATTAATTTATCAGTTTTTTACCTATGGTCTTTAAACTAAACTTTATTTTGTTGCATATTTGAACTTCGATAGAGCTTATTTTTATCTCAGATTCAGTTTGGCTGTTCCAGTTGAATTAGACCATGTACAGCATCTACGAACCTTCATTAGCAGCGAATAATACAATATAATAATAGTATATTTAATTGTTTTGGCATTTCTGAATAAATTAATGATAAATAAAAAATAGAAAGCCTGGGACAACAAAATACATAATATAGTCAATTTAGTTAAAACCTTAACAATTATAATCTAGGGACGAAATTACGTCATTTGAAATTGATTATTAAATAATATCAAAATGTTGTATGTTGATAGATGTACCAAAATTAAATATTGTAAAAAATTAACCATTAGCTTTTTCAATTTTTTTAAATTTTAAAATAATACAATTAAAGTGTCTAGGGATATGTTTGTGGGTGTACCAACTGAGGGAGTACGGCCGATGACGTCACAGCCCGCCACCCTCCAATACCCCCTCGATAGCCCCCATCACCCCCACCAGCCGTTACAGCAGTACAGTCGCGTTGCCGCCGTTGCGTTATACGCGCGTCTCGCTGCTCTCTCTCTCTATAAATCTCTCTCTATAAAATGATTAAACGCTCAGAGGTGACAAAGGGATAGTCGTCTCAAATAACTGTATGCTGATAAATATTCTAAGGACACGAAATACAATCTTAGATGGTCATTTATTAAAATAATTGTTATTGAAATGTGGCAATTTGAAGATTCTGAGATTTACTCGATAGGAATGATACATCCTTCGCACAGTCGGCATTCCGGCCTGTCGATGTTGTCCGGTGTATCGCAATTCTCAGGTTTGTATACAAATTAAAATAATTATAGTAAAAATATTTTTTCCACATTTCAACCATGAATAACTTCATATTGTTTCAAAATTTAATTTTTTCATCTCTGATTGATTCTAGTTTTAATTAATTCGGGTGCTCACGATTGTAAATATTGTATTACATTGATTTATGTAGTCCTACGCGATCTTGCTGAAGCAATTAACCCTCAGACACAGCTCACTGAGTTTCTCGCCGGATCTTCTCAGTGGGTCGCGTTTCCGATCCGGTGATAGATTCTGCGAAGCACGACTCTTGCTAGGGTTCGTGTTAGCAACGTCATCAGGTTTGAGCCCCGTAAGCTCACCTACTAGTTAAGGTTCCGCTAATATAGCCGCTTAAGGCTATCAGCTTAGGTAGGAAAAAAAAGCTGAAGCATGTTCAAAATTTGTCTTCGGGAGTATTCGAGCTTTGTATCGAAATATGTTTGAGATCTAATCGAATAAACAATCGTTCAAAACATGTTCCCCTAATTAAAACGTATGCATACAGACCGCAGAGTGCAATCGACTCGATAGTTAGTCGCTACTGAGGTGCAAGTTACGAACTTTAGTAGCTATTACAAAAAAAAAACTGTTATAAAATTATCAATTTAGTAGCTACCAAAGCCGCCGCTTACGTTAAGGGATGAGATCGAAGCGACTATGTTTCTTAGTCGGAAATTTATATACTCAGGTCTGCGATGTTACATTACGCCTTTCTATTAGCGATTGTTGATTAGAGGAGGAGCTATGAAAGAAAATACGGTGACGGTTAGCGATTAACTGGCACCAGAATGATGGGGAAGCAAACGAGTAGTATCTAGAGATGGGTGAACGCGCATTGGCTGATGTATAGCTTATAGTTAGACAAAATCATTATAGTGATAAGTTCCTCAAGCGTTACTGCACAGAACTGTGTTATTATTTTCGTTTTATAACTTCTATACAATTTTGGTAAGTTATTTAACTGGTAATCACGAAAACTATAAAGTGTTTGAAACGTAGGAAATGATAAAATGGGGTCAAATTGACCAGTAAAATAATTTTCAAATATGTCTACGGCTCACGAAAACCAGAGACAATAATCCGTGTCATAATTAGTATTAAACCCTTTGCTAAACATACCAACCATATGAGGTCGTGAACTTATGTCATCGCAACTACTAAGAAAAGGATAACTATATATTCTGCCTGACTCCAGCAATGAGCACGCAAAAAACGAACAATATGTATGCTTTAGTCGGATAAAAATGTCTTTAATTTTACACCTAAGTAGCTGATCCGGCAGACTTCGTAGTGCCTCAATTGATAAATAAAAGACCTAAACTCTTGTATAAAATAAACTTAAAAGAAACAAAAGGAATCCGTTCGANCTAAGAAAAGGATAACTATATATTCTGCCTGACTCCAGCAATGAGCACGCAAAAAACGAACAATATGTATGCTTTAGTCGGATAAAAATGTCTTTAATTTTACACCTAAGTAGCTGATCCGGCAGACTTCGTAGTGCCTCAATTGATAAATAAAAGACCTAAACTCTTGTATAAAATAAACTTAAAAGAAACAAAAGGAATCCGTTCGACGGGGGGGACATCAAAGGAAAAACAAAATTGTTATTTTTATTTAATTCCAAGCATTTTCATATTTATCTACCTTTTAAACCTTCTCAGGACTTCCACAAATAATTCAAGACCAAAATTAGCCAAATCGGTCCAGCCGTTCTCGAGTTTTAGCGAGACTAACGAACAGCAATTCATTTTTATATATAGAGATTATTATTCTTAATTTACTGGTGGTAGGACATCTTGTGAGTCCGCACGGGTAGGTAACACCACCAAGCCTATTTCTGCCGTAAAGCAGTAATACGTTTCGGTTTGAAGGGCGGGGCAGCCGTTGTACTGTAAAAATTGAGACCTACCACCTCTACTTAACACCAGGTGGATCGTTAGCATGTCCACACATCTAAGCAAAAATATGTACATATATATTAGTTGCCTATGGGTGGCAAAAAACAATATTTCTTATTTAGTCACTTGTGTTTAAGCCAGCGCCACAACGTTGTTGGCGCTCTTAACGAACCAATCGAGCGGTCTCAACAGAGCACCACTCTGAATCACTTGATTTTTATTTTTTGTTTTTTTTATTGCTTATATTGGTGGACGAGCTCACAACCCACCTGGTGTTAAGTGGTTGCTGGAGCCCATAGACATCTACAACGTAGATGTCCCCCCTTACTTCAGATATCAGTTCTAAGGTCTCAGTATAGTTACAGTATAGTTGATTCGAAAATGGCAGCGGTTCTCGGCTTGCCACGTATCGAAAACTCCAGTATTGCAATATCCCAGGTAATTAGCAGCGTAACCGATGATAAACAGCAGGTGTATCGTAGGCTCGACCTTTTCAATTTTACTGTGGGCAGAATAGTATACGCTCAGATAACACGAGTCTCACTCTGCAAGGACTTAGATTCTCTGTAAACCTCGTTTGAAGGAAATATCAGATTTTCGTTTTTGAAACACCGTCGAATAGTACGCACGTGTCAATCAGATTTCTAAAAAAGCAACTGTGTATGAACGCATCGGTTCCAGATAGCAAAGATGAACTGTGCTCCGTAGGGGCGCGGTGTGATATTAAAACAGCAGATGAAGGAATAGTCTCGAATAATTTCTCACAGCACTCCCTATAGCACATACGGAATAAAACACACAGAAAAGCGAAGTCCTCCTTGGATCCAGAGGTTCCAAACTATTCGTGAGAATTGTTAATTTCAAGCATATTTCGTGACACCATAAAATAATCAATCTCCCACTGCCTCATAGATCTCGTGTCTAGTTTACGAATTGCGTGTTATCGTGAATGATTAGACACAGTTGTATAGTACGTGGGGCTCTTCTGCACATTTTAATTCCATAAATACATAAAAAAATATTAATAATCATTTATTTTATTGCGAAATTCAAACATTTAAT